CACAAATAGGAACACATCCAATCAAACCTTTGGTAAGAAAAAAAGGGGGCATTACTCAGGAGTGACAACACATACGCATTTTGTTCTTAATCGAGGATAGACTTTAATGTATGGGCCGCAATATTCACTAATGATCAGGGTTAAAAAGACGACATCCACGCAGCACCAAACTTTACGCCTTATAAATAATCTGTGAAATATGGATTTGCCATATGAAGATAAATTATTAAAATAAGTTGGGAAATGCTGCAGCTATATTATAGTACTCGTAGTAGCGTGAATGGGCCGGCTCGACCAGGGAAGGATCACGCTCTCACAAAATACCAGTGGAAGATAGCAGTAATTTCGTATGATAAGTGTAGAAAACCGGAGACCATTTTTACTGGAATCGAGGCATTCCATCTTAGTGCTCAGGGTTAACAACGTGTCTGCATTTTGATTCTTAATCAAAGATAGGTGTAGATATCTAAGGGCGACTGCCTTACTATCAGTTAGACTGTGTGTTCGTTTATCACGCTTATTCTATTGTTGAATTTGGTCTGAGTAGCTCGCAGGTCTCTGCCTACCCGCTTGCAGATTACAGGCATAATGCTTTGCACTATTATAATCACTTACCTATATAAACATTTAAGAATCATTTCAAAGTTATAAAGAACTATTTATTTTAATGTCATTAATTAGTTCTTAATGTCGAAACGAAATATGGCGGCAGGGTCCGTCATATGTTATATCAAAACAGAAACCAGTAGTGTGTGGGTTGGCACTTGGAGACTGACGCGCTAGCCTTGCCAACGAGGAAAACGTTTAAATAAAGTCTAATCAAAGTAATTTGTTAAAAGTCTGTATTTTGTTCAAGTAAAATAGAATCAGTGCACAATTATATCTGCTTTCGCACATCTTTTGGTGCGAAATGTTAGTTCAAACCACTTTATGCGTTTTAAAAAAAGGTTTATGTTATAATAACAGGATCTTAGCGATTATTAAATTTACAATCAAAGCAACACAAACGATTTTTGTCAGTGTTCGAGAGAAATGACATATGAGAAAATCTGTTAATTAGTTTAGTGTCAGTTTGTAAGGAAATATTTTTCGTAAATATTTGTGAGTGTAATTATTAGTTGTGATATCATTGCGAAATGGAACTTCATAATGTAAAGATTAAAATAATTTTTTAGAAACCGTTACATATTATAACTTTTCCAAGAATGCGCCGATTGATGACCACGAGAGAAGAATCACATAGTATTATTTTAAAATACGTAAATTTTAAATTCTAACTGTGCAGTGGTGATGTTGGAAGTTTATATTATATATTAGAAGTTTTATTTAACTTTGTCGTAAAACGTGACAGTGAAACAAATCTTAGAAAAAAAACCTGTATAACCAGCGTGGCAGCAGTACCTTAATGCTGCTGTGTTTCGTATGGTTAGTGTAGAGAACCGGAGACCCTTTTTACTGGAAACGAAGCATTCCATCTTAGTCCTCAGGGCTGACAATGCATCTGCGTTTTGGTTCTTAATCAAGGATAAATGTAGATGTCTATGGGCCACAGCATCCACTCACCATCACGTGGACTGTGTGCTCGTTTGTTACCCTTATTCTATAAAAAAATACACATGCACTCCAAACTGTCTGTCCACCTTCATGAGTAGTGTGGCCAACCCTACTATACAATTAAGGGTACCGAACACTATAATTTAAAATATAATAAGCTAATCTATTATATTTGAGTGTGATAATGGTGAGACTATTAATAAAGGCTAATAAATTAGCAAAAACTGTTACTATAAAATTAAATATTGTTTTTTTGTCTTTCAGGTACCGTATCATTAAAATATTATTTATACATCTAAACAATTAAATAAAAATTAAGTGCGTGTTTGTAATGTCAAAGTATTTTGGGTTTCTTGCTGGTTCTTCCCAGGAAAAAGGTTTTTTCCACACCAGTGGTAAATATCACCGGCCACCGGTACACGGTAAAGTTTCTATAAACTTATGATTGTACCGTAACGTAATGTGTAATTATTGAATGTAATAATATATTAAATAAATAAAAATAAATAAAAAATATAAAAAGTGACTTTCAGTAAGTATTATTTATAATCCATACTGAATAAAAAGTGTCTGTTTCTATCTTTTATCAATATTTTGTTCATTTTATCTCTACATCGGCCAAAGGTTGACGGATAAAGAATGCCTCGAGCATTAAATCCGCCCATACATCATGAAGGTATAGTATATTAAGGTAAAAAAATAAAACACTACTAAAATAACAATATAATATTGTTGCAGTAATAGTACTGTAAGAACGTGATCACATAATATAGATTTAAGCTGTTGACAAGGCACGGAAGGTGACCAGGCATCACTATTCTGACGCCTTATCTATATAAACAAGTGATAAAATTAAAAATGTTGTACAACTGTAAAAAGTAAAGTTACAGCCTACGTCCCACTGCTGGGCACAGGCCTCCTCTCATTTCTGACAGGATTTTAGGGCATGGAAGTGTCCGCCGCGCAGCCCCAATGCGTGTTGGCGAACTTCACGTCTTTGAAATATATTGTTTCATATTACTCAGACATGCAGGTTTCCTCACGATGTTTTCCTTCACCGCCAAGCACGTGGTAAATCAGCACTTAAAATTTCAATTAACAATTTCATTGCTGCCGATGGGGTTCGAACCCGGGTTCTGTTATATTTCTTCCTCTGTTATATTCACAGCGAGCATTAACCATCTGAGCTACCACGGCTCTGTTGTACAACTGACTTCAATATATATAAAATGAGAAGATCATTGACTACACGGAAAGCACCAGCTTTCAAATAAAAAAAGAATCATCAAAATTGATTCACTCAGAAAATAAGAAAAAAGTTTTTTTATGTGTGTTAAGCTTACTTCTGAGGTAACACACTTAAAAAAACATACAGTAATTGAGTACCTCCTCTTTTTTAAGTCGGTTGATAAAATTTAGTTAAATATTAAAACTTGGTAATAGAGAGACCTTGTATATTTTCTGGGACTTTGTTGTAATAGCGTATATGAAAGAATGAATTACTGACTCTGTGGAGTCGAGAAACTGGTAGCACCAGTTTGTGTTTGTTCCTAGTGTTTACAGAGTGTATGTCACTTTTTTACTAAAACTACCTTTATTTTTGTGAACATACATCAAATTTTCATAGATGTACTGAGAGGCCAAAGTTAATATATTTATTTCTTTAAATTTTTCTCTAAGAGACTTTCTCACTTTAAGATTGTAAATAGCGTTTTATTTATATTAATTTTAATACCCGACGTTTCGGGTGCTTTCCAGCACCCATGGTTACCATGGGTGCTGGAAAGCACCCGAAACGTCGGGTATTAAAATTAATATAAATAAAACGCGATAAAATCCGTAAAAGTAGTTTTAATCAATGTATAGTGTTCGCGTAAATATAAGAAATCATTATTGTAAATAGCTCTAATAGCCCTCTTCTGCAAAACAAAACTAGTTTCTAAATCAGCCGCATTCCCCCATAGCAAAATTCCATATGACATTATGCTATGGAAATAACTAAAACAAACTAATCTAGCTGTCTCGACACTAGTGAGATCTCGTGTCTTTTTTACAGCATAGGCTGCAGAGCTTAGTCTGCTTACTAGTTTAGATATATGGGGGCCCCGCTGAAGCTCAGCGTCGAGAGTGATCCTAAGAAAAACAGAGGACTCAACAGGACTCAGTTCTTCCCTATTTAAAAACACATTGGTACTCGGATTACTAACATTTGTTGTTGTTGTAAACTTAATGCATTTAGTTGTATTGCCGTTTAAATGTAGACTATTAACGTTAAGTCAATGCACTAATTTCGACGTAGCATTATTCACTTCGTCACATTTAAATGATTGACGTTTAAGTTTAAGTTATTGCCTTACCGTTAGAGCCTACAAAATTTCATTATTGAACATAAACCTGCTACTATAGACTGCTTCATAGGAGGATATTGCCGTGCAGTTGCGGTACTAGAACATCCGCTATATGATCCCGTGGGTGTCGTAAGAAGCGTCAGGAGGAAACACATTAGGAGCTGGCCAGCAGCGTGTTCATAATAACGACTAACATTATCTGTGGTTGCCAGCCCGCTTTCTAAGCGTGGCTACTATGGCAAACTCGATTAAACTTTCTTTTTACAATAATTGTTAGATTTCGGATTTGTATGTACGGTGTTGCTATCTCTGTTCTATCTAGGTAACCTACCTAGTTATCTAGGTAACGTACTTAGTTTTTGGTCCTTTTATTTTCTAACAATTAATTCTTGAATAAAACCACTTATATGGATTTTATCGCGTTTAATTAACTTATTTTTAATTCCCAACATTTGGGATGCTCTACATCACCCATGGGCACGGGGGGGACTGAGATGTTTAACGTCCCAATGTCATAGTTAGCCCGGCTACCTTCAATTTTTGAATATAAATTTTTGATCCGCAGAAATAGCTTACAGTATCCCGAAGTCTTGCAGTGGTATGCTTGGGTTTGGATTTAATTTTAATAATTTTAGGATCCCACAGCACCCATCCATCTTCTCTATTGAAATTAGGATGTTTTTTTTTAATTTCATTAGCCTCGCGTATCATCCTTGGTAGTGATCGGTGTCCTTTTGCGAGGATTTGTGGTTGATCAAATCTGATGTAATGGTGGGGACGATCTTTATCATGTTCACAGACTGCAGACTTCCCGAAGCGTCGGTGCTTCACATCAGCTATATGATGAAACGGGAATTAAAAAATAGTTAGTTGAACCAAATATAAATTAATAAAATTTTCTTTCTTTAAGTAAGTTGTTGACACTATTATGATAAAATGATAAATCCCCGCGTGAATACCCAGCGATATTTATAAGTATTGGTTTTATTATAAACCTGTTGTTTTCCTTATGTGGGGGCAGTGCGAGCGTCAACACTGACGCGGGACGGCGCCGGTTTAGTGTATATTTTTTATCTGTGGTACTCATATCAAAGCGAAATGAGGTAAGCTTATCTCAGACTATTAATTAATTATACTTCTATATATATATATATGTAAGTAAACTTGGGAGTTTGATTTAAATGATTTCAAATACTTGTTATTTTTTTTTCTTTTGTTTGGGATTCAGGTTGAAATCTAACAACACGAATCTTAAACGATACTCTTAACCAGTGGCTGCAAATTTGTTTTTTTTTTTCTGTAAACTCATATTTTATTTTTAACATTTACTTATAAATAATGGATGAATGTTGCCAAAAGGGTCTCTACAGCTCACGACACTTGCAGCCAACTTCAAACAGTGAAGCCACTGAAACATATTTATCTATTTATTATCATCGTATAAGAATCAAAATGCAGATGCCTTGTCAACTTGTCAGAATGGAATGCCTCTTTACCAGTAAAACGTGTCTCCGGTTCTCTACACTCATTATACGAAACACAGCAGCATTATACTGCTGTTTTACATTGGTATTATGCTAGAGCGCGGTCCTACCCGGTCGAGCCGACACATTCATGTTACAATGGCAATATAACTCCAGCGTGGCTCTATTTCGTATAAATAAAATTAAATTGTCTCTCTGTAATATAAAAATAAATGACTTGTATTAAGCTTAGGCGATTATTTGCATACCATGAAGATATAAATAACCAATTGTAAAAAAAATTGTCTCTCTTGTCGTGGCCGAGGTCACTATTAAAGGAGCGTTTATTTCAAATCCTTTTTACAACCGTAGGTATACAATTTTGGTAATCGCTGTCCTATCGACGCTGATGGTGTTAGGAGCGTGCCAGTCAGACGACGAGATGGCAGCCATGCTCCAGGCTATAACCTCTAACGAACCACAACAGAAAACTACCACCGACGAAGAACTCAACCTAGATCCAGTTCTTGATCAAACTGACACCTGTAAGATTAATCTTTCTAATATATGAAAATTAATGTTTGTTTGTTCGTATTTTATACGCTGCCATACCGTTTATCAGATTGCGTTAAAACTTTGTCAATTTATTTTAATTATTGCTTGCACTTGCGCGAAAGTATAGGCATCGTATCGTACTGTCCAATTTATTTGAAAGCTATATATACTAACTTCAATGAATGTATGTAATGTAATGTATGTAAATGTAATGTAAAAACAATGTAACTCTCCATTAAGAACGATATTTGGAAATATCGTTTTAAATGAAGAGTTATATTGTTTTATTCTTGCTGCCTATTTTCGTTGTATTTCGTCTTCGTTAATAATAGTGGGCTATTATTTCTTTTGCGGTAGCAATGCGCCGGTTGACCAGCTTGCTCGTTCACAGCGGCCAGTCTTAACGGAAACTACCCATCTTCACAGAACAGGGTTACAGTTCATGCGCGTGCGCGCAAGCACAGGTGCAGTCTCTATCACCAATAGTCCGATGGGACTGCGATCCGACATGACTGTACTCTCCAGTTCTTCCCAGGAGCTGGGTAGGTTCCAACTTCTTGCTGATGAAACTTTGCTATTAAAATTCTTTGACGATAGTCCCTACTCTGTACTAGAGTTTGAACACAGAGTACTCTGTGTTTGACATTTGACATTGGCAGTATAAGCATAAACAATAAAAGTTTGGCCGTGAAGGCAAAAAGAGAGATCTCCCACCATGCAAGGTATTAAGCACATAAAGTGATTCAACGATTACATATAACGCAATACTTGCGTACGCAAGTCAATCTATTTATTTAAAATATAAAAGATTTTTTAATATTGATATAGTCACAATAATATGTTGTTATGATTAAAACTACTTTTACGGATTTTATCGCGTTTATTTTTACTTTTTATTTTTAATTCCCGACGTTTCGGGCGCTTTCCAGCACCCATGGTCACGGGGGACTGAGATGACTGACGTCCCGATGTCATTGTTAAACCCGGAGTACCTTCAGCTTTTTTAATTATTGTTTATGGTCCGATCTATGCAAAATGAACTGACTATGTCTTGAGGTCTTGCAGTGGTATGCTTGGGTTTAGCTGGAAAGCGCCCGAAACGTCGGGAATTAAAAATAAAAAGTAAAAATAAACGCGATAAAATCCGTAAAAGTAGTTTTAATCATGTGCAATGTTCGCGTAAATATAAGAAATCAAGATGTTGTTATGTTAGCTAATTACGTAATAACTTAAGATAAAAGGACCCTTAAGTAGGGACTGAATAAATTAACCGACTTGTTATTACTTGTTTTTTTTTTACAAGTTATGTTTTTGATGGCATCTCATTTCATTTTGCAAATAGTCGTACTTTTTTCCTGCCAGTACCTTCTACTTCTTGATTACCAACAAAGTACCTATCTTCGTCTTTTATTCCATTATATGTATTATACATGATAGGTATATAATCAAAGATTTACAGGTATACTGATTCATTTACTGCAAATGTAACTTTGTAAACCTATATATTTATAAGGGATTACAAAGTTATTTATGCGGTTCATGTATCTAGAAAACTGGACCGAAATTTAAAAATATTTTAGTTTTTCCTTGATTTAGACACCAAACACTAATTGTGTTCTAAGTTTGAAGCTTCTATGTCTGCTAGAAGTGCCTTAGAGTATTGAGTCAGTCAGTGAGTGACAAAATGAAGAAACTTTCACTAATTATAATTCCTAAACTATTGGTTCAAATTGAATGAAATTTGAAATATACCGTGTCTATATAATGCCTGTTTAATTTCTGAAAATTCAGGTTTTTAGTTCTATCAACAACGAAGTTATAGGGTCGAAAATGGCCTGAATTGCTTCGAGAAAAGTGTGGTACGGCCGTGCCGCTTTGTTGCTCGACTTGGCGATTCACTTATTTTTAATATAAAATTTTACTTTGCCAACTCTCACACTCTTTCGTGCGCGCAATCTACAAAAAAAGAAGAACAAAATGTTCTCTTCACGTACAAAGATATTCGGACTTTACCGCTTAGTTGTATTGGTTACACCTTGTTGCTGCCCGGAATTTACTACGATTGGATTTCATGGGGGTTTATTTGCGCGGAACCTTAATTCCTTTCCTAAAATGAAAGTAGCCTAAATTACTATAACATCAGCTATCTGCCAGTGAAAGTCCCGTCGAAATCAGTCCAGCCTGTTTTAGAGATTAGGCGGAACAAATAATCAGAGAGACAGGTTGCAAAAATTTAAAAATTGTTTTATGTTCTAAAGTAACGTATATTCTTAGTAAAAAAAAATGTTATTTAACAAACAAACAGGCACTTAAATTTTATTTACATAGATTAAAACTCACTGTAAGATTTTTAGACACAATAAGACAATAGCAGTGGACAATATGTGGGTCACGGGACGCAGAATGGGTTAAATATTAAATATCTCTATTCCTGTCTCTTTCTACTATCATTTAGTGAAAAAATAAATCTTCAAGCATGTCTTAAATTGTTAAATAGACGTCGATTTTTATATGTCAGGCATTTTAATATGTTACAGTTTCATTAAATTAATTTGTATTTTATTCTTTTCAGTTTCTAGTCAAGGTTCGACGTCAGAGATCACGCGGTCTAAAGGTATGCGCATTTTTAACATATTTTTTTTACATCTAATATTTCTTAGGTTAATGCCTTTTCTAATTTCACCAAAACATTTTAAAAAAATAAGAATCCATTACCATTACAGCCTTTAAAGTTCACTGTTGAACATAGGCCTCCCCCATATATTGGTTAAGTGGGGGGATTTTGCCATATTTGTCACGCTTGGCAAGCGGTTTAGCAACCGCAGCTTTTTATTATTTAGAATTGTTATCGGGAAAATGCTGTTACCCATCTGATATTCAAGTTTCCCTCGGTCACCTCTTATGAAACCAACGGGATAATATAGGGTAGTGGATATGCTTATACCGCACTACAAGGTTAAAAATAGTAAGAATATCAAACAAATACTTTCACTGGTACATGGTACGTGGTCGGCTAGACCGGAGAAGGGTACCAGCAAAATGCTGTTATGTTACGTATAGTCAGTGAGTAACCGAGACCCTTTTACTGGCAACGAGGCATTCCGTATTAGTCCTCAGCTGTAACATCAGCATTTTGATTATTAATGGATAGCAGATGTATCTGTGTAGCACAGCATCCATTTCTTATCAATTGGAATTTGTGCTCGTGCGTGTATTCGCAAGTGTATGTATGCGAAATAGTATCCCGTGGGTGTCTTAAGATTCGACTGTGAGAAGGGCCGAAAAGATCTCCTGACTTTCAATATATTTTTTTTACTTACACACAGTTTACCTTTCGTAAGTGGATGCGGTGGCCAATAGACATCTACGTCTATTATCTTGTGGTATAAGATGGAATGCCTCGTTTCTAGTGAAAGAGGTCTTCGGTTCTATACACTCACCATATGAAACACAGCAGCATTGAGATGTTATTATACGTTGGTAATCCGTGAGAGGATGTTCCAACCTCGGTCGAGCCGACTCGTTCGTGATAATAGGTACCCCAATATACCTAGCTGCAGCATGGCTCTATCACTACTCTAATAAACATCTTTTTTATGTAAAAGTCCGGTACGTCAATAGCCCTGACAAGCGTAGACAATAGACGGCGAATGGAAAAGGCCAGTGTCTACTGGACCACTCCAATAGTCTATGTGACGAAATGTGAAGAAGAAAAACCTGTGGCAATTATTTTTGTTTTTCCATTTTCCTTAAAACCATAAGACGTGCAGGAATCCGATGGATGATGATGATCGTGGTCATTTTCGATTCGTTGTAGGAACAATTTCCGAGTGCATAAATCAGGAGGGGCAGCGCGGCGTCTGTGTTTACTACTACCTTTGTGATCAGGAGTCTAAGACTATAATAGAAGACGGGCGCACGCTTATAGATGTCAGGTTAGTCCATTTTTTATCAGTTTAATCTTTCAAGCGCCTTAAAAATCCCATGCAGTCGCACGCGCCCGGCAAATCCCGAGCGGTCCACCTTCCCACATCACTTAAAATCATTAAAACTTATATTTAGAGACTACTTTTCTATGAAGAAGTTTAGCATTATAAAATCTATACAAAATTTTCTATCTTGTGGTCTAAACAAAAGTCAGGTTTTACTTCATTACAAAAAGATTTTCTTATATTTTGATAACAAAAAAAAACATACCAAGCGAATGTCGGCAGCGTGAAAATCACTATCATTTCAATTATTTGCGTAAACAGATAAATTATATTCACACAAAAACTTTCATTACAATTCACAATAAAACACTAGAAATATCCAAAAATCAACACAATAACATTCACGCGAAAATGGCGTACGAAATGAATGTAGATTATAAATAAATATTCATAGTATAATAGTTTTCTTATTGCACTAGAGGATAGAGTATTTCATATTGATTATATAATGCCAAACTTCTTCATAGAAAAGTAGTCTCTATATATATGTTTTTATGGGTTAAAATGCTGTGTAATTTAGTAAAAAAAATCAGTAAGTTTTTGTTTACAGTTACGATAAGTAAGGATATATATCTAGTATTTTATAAATTTTAATCTAAATGAGACAAAATGTTTTGTACTGATTGTAAATAAATTTAGTCTTAGTGTAATTCAGTGTGGCGACTCCATTTTTTCTTCTTTTAGTTAAACTATTGTTGTCGATATTGTAGGACATATGTTTTTTTTAGAAATCCGTGCAATATGTAGTTTAGGAAATGTCAATAAATCTACATGTAAATACAATGAACTTGTAAACTGACGTGTTTCGAAATACATGATTTTTAACAAACCCCTTTGAGTTCGCTCTAATTATAAAATGAGTTTTTACAGCACCACCCTATATCATTATAATATAAATCAGAATAGATTGTGTCAACATAGATCTTATTACTATTTGAAACATCTCGTAGTAACTGATTTGACATGAAACAACCATGAATTTCTTTGGCCTACTAAGAATCCAAAGTACTTCGTAGAAACTAGTCTAGTTAAAGTATGGCAGTTGCAATTTGTGCTAAATGAGTATATAATATATTAATATATAAATAAACGGCTGACAGATGTGAATCTTAATATCACGAGAAAAGTCTGGCAGACTGTTTTTATGGAAAATAAGATATAATTTGTTTTTCTGGAATTAATCGTTAGTAAGGTCTGACTTAACCATTGCGAAATCACAGACAAACCGTGCTTTATATTGATCTTTAAATTGTTCAAGGATTCGCCTGTAAATACATTGGCAGTGTTGTCAGCATACGAGAATATGCTAGCATATGGGATCTTTATATTGCAAAGTTGGTTTATGTATTTGAGAAACAAGATGGGCCCCAAGACGCTTCCCTGCAGTACGCCATAAGTTACACTAGTTTTTTGACTTACTTGTGAACCTATTTTTACCCCTTAAGTCCTACAAGCCACTTTTAAGCATGTCGAGGGACACACCTCTACTCCCAAAATTTTATAACTTCTGCAACAGAATGCGAGTAGACACGGTGTCAATGTCTCTTTTTTGTAGGATAGGATGACAAATGAGCACACAGACCACCTGATGGTAAGTGGTTGCTGTGGCCCATAGACATCTACATCTATCCTCGATTACGAATCAAAATGCGTTGTCATCCATGAGGACTTAGGTGGAATGCCTCGTTTCCAGTAAAAAGAGTCTCCGGTTCTCTACACTCACCATACGAAACACAGCAGCATTAAGCTACTATTTGACGCTGGTATTCTGTGAGAGCGTGGTCCTTCCGGTCTAGCCGACCGATTCGTGCTACAACTATACTACTAATATAACTGCAGCATGGCTCTACCACGTAAAAAATGTCTTCTTAAGATTAAGAAACACCGCCAGGCAGTTTGAATTTTTATCAAGATTATCAACCACCACAGATGTTAGGGCTTCTACAGCGTCTTCAGTCGACTTTCATGATTGAAAGCCAAATTGAGAACTGGATAAGATGTGAAACTTATTGAGGAATCTGATGATCCTTTTATTGATAAGTTTTCTATAATTTTTGAGATAGCCGGCAATATCAAAATTGTTGTATAGTTATTGATTTCCTTCTCATCTCTATTCTTATGAACCGGTGTTACTACGGACTCCCTGAGCAATGACGCAAATATACCTTTTCGAAAACTAATATTGACTAAATGACAGAGAACTGGCACAATTCATAGCAAGTTTTAAGAAACTACAGTACCCCACGTTATCCTAGCCTGGAACACTGTTAGATTTTAAGGCCATCAAAATAGTGTACTTGTTCCATATCTGTATCATAGAGAGCAAAAGATGATGTCTGAGAATTTGTACAAAATTGTTCATAAATTTTCTCTTGTTTGGCTGGACAATCGCATCGGTCAAGTTTTTACCCACACAACTAAAGTAGCTATATTAGCTATATCGACGGAATCTTCTGTGCAAGGCCCAATTTGTAGTAACTTTGTATTATCCGTTATAGTGGTTTCTATATGTTACTTTAGCAATATTTTTCCAAAGATTCTTAGAATCAACCATTATACTTCCAGGAGCTTCTTTTCATGTTTTCGTTTCAAATTTCTAACCAGATTTTTACAATAATTTCGGTATCTTCGGTAGGAAATTCTAAGAATCTCATCGCTGGGATTTTGCTGTAGGTTATTAGTGTGCTTGACAACGTAGCACAACTAACTAACCACACAACAAACGGAGTCATCCAAGGCTTAATTACACGTCTTTTAAAGATTGCATTAATTTTCCTAACAATTGTTCGGTTAATACATTCAGATCATTATGTAAGAGCGATTCATATATGTTTTTATTTTTTAAATCGATTAAAGCTTTTTGAAAATCTACAACAGATTTATTTTTTTCATACACTAATTGAGGTTTAACATCAGTTATGTGTAGCAATATCATAATATGATCGGTTGTTGTTGTGTTCAAAACTGCAACCTGGGCCGGTTTATCGTGCACAAGCTTGAGTATCATATGATCCAAAATACCATTATCCCTGGTATTTGTATTAGGTGATCTATAAATAACCACAATTATAACTGTGTATATTTCGATTTGAAGACACGAGGCATTTTGAAGTACAATTTCCTTAACATTAACAGCCATATCATTCTTAACGGAAGTCACCATACCATCATTTTTATTAAAATAACGTGAAGTAGAGTATGACACATAATTTGTGATTTGTGTTCTGAGAGTCAAGTTCGAAGAACCAAAAACCGATGGGAAAGAAAGGTTCTCGGGTGGTAGTCTTGTATCAATAGATGAAGCCTAGGGCATCCCCGCATTGCATAGATTGATGACCCGGTAAGAGATGCAGGAAGTCCATAGATGCAGGTGGTTCGGAACCGTGCTTTGGGACTTTCCTTGGGGATGGCCTATTTTCAGCAGTAGACTTGTGAGAGGCTTTAATGATGATAATGATTTATGAAAAGATTCCCAGAGTTCCTTAAGAACTCGCTTCTTCCTTAAGAACGTCTTCTTTTTGCTAATCGGTGAAGATTTTGACGTTTATAAGAGTATGAAGAATTAATTAGATAAAAAGTTTTGAGTTTGATTTTTCATGGAATATTGGAATGGAATATTCACATATTATCGATGTTTTCAGATCTGGGGAATATTGCCAGAAATTCCTCGAGATATGTTGTCTACGTAGCCAGGTTCTAGAAGAACCCGCTAAATATGAAAGTAAACAGACCAAATTAGTAGAAAAAGTAGTTCGCAGCGATGAGAAGCCGAAAGCGAACGAATGTGGTTGGAGTAATCCTGGCGTCAACGTGTTCACCCCCCGGAGTGGTGGCGAACGTATTACCGATGGGGAAAAGATCTACGCTGACTTCGGCGATTTTCCGTGGATTGTAGCCTTGCTGAAGTAAGTATTTTTTACGATTCTATCTCTTTTGCATTACCGTGTTGTCCCCGATTTGAAAAAAGAAGAACTTTCGTATTACATTTTGTTATGAGAAGCGAATCAATTTCTTTTATTTAACAAGTAAGGATGAATAACAAGCTCACAATTCACTGATAAGAATAGGAATCAAAATATGCTCTCAACTCTGACGACTAAGATGGAATGAACCTTATTACAACTAAAAAGGGTTTCCGGTTAGAGGGACTGTCTCAACGGAAACTAGCCGTCTAAACAGGACAGCATTATAGTGCCATCACAGTCAAACTTACCCTCGACTCTAAAATATACTGTGCACTTGTGTAAGAGTGTAGTACGATGAAACGTCAGTTTGACATGACCAGAGAGAAATCAGGCGCAGAATTAATGGCTTAACGTACTTACCGAGACACGGGGGTGAAAACCTCCAAATTGCTGACTCGGGGCTGTTACTAAAAATTTCAAGACAGAAAACATTAATACAACCCTCCAGTATACATACCAGAGTGATATTAGTATATGATGTGTTACCCTAGCCGGTAAGTGGAGAAAATACCAGTGCGGTAAAGTTTAAAAGAAAGGAAAACAAAGTTTAGCATGCAATACAATAAATAGAATTTAATTTTAGATCTCAAACTAAGATAAGGAGGCATCTTCAAATACATAACAGCTTTACTATACCATACTGCTATTTTACGCTGGTGTTTTGTGTGTGCATCGTTCTTCGGCCAACCCGACCCAAGTCAGACCCGATAACTGCAGTGTGCAGCTGACTTCACCACGTTTTGTTGTATGAGAAGGTGTTGCATATCTCGAGAACAAACGATGACGTGATGCTGTTGCCAATCAATTACAGTTACAGTCCACCTGATGGTAAGTGGCCACTCCATGTACACCTGCAACGAACTACAGATGCGTTGAACTAAAAACGGCTACAGATGCGATCAACTAAAAAAAGTCTACGGGTGCGTTAAACTAAAAAGGCTACAGACGCGTTGGACTAAAAAAGGCTACGTTGTAACCCCTGAGAACTTAGATGGAATGCACCACAGCCTGTAGTTGTAATAGCTCTATATACACTTAACACCATAACACAGCAATACAAGCACTCTTATTTGGCGGCAAAAGTTGGTAAAAAGATGGTAGTTACCTAGACGAATTGTTAGGCAGAAAAGAAGTCAAACTCATCTTATACGTGGTATACGTCGTAGAGCCATGCTGTCGCTACATAATGGCTGCAGAACGAGTGGGTCCGCTCGACTGGGGTAAGACACGCTCTCGCAGAACACCAGCATAAAATAACATCTAAATACTACTGTGTTTCTTATGGTGAGTTTAGAGCACCGGAGTCCCTTTTCTCTGGTAACGAGGTATACCATCGTGGTCCTCAGGGGTGACAACGCATCTACATTTTGATTCGAAACTAGGTAAGACACATAATTTTGTTTTATTACGCGGATTTGAGTAAATTTATTTGTAACACCTTTAATATAATGCATATCTGCAAAATAACGCCGGACTCTATTAACTATATAATTATATATTTCTGTCTCCCACAAGGTGTAGTGAATCCTTCTAATATCCACATGAAATATTTTCAGAAGGAAACAAGCGGAGGAAGAATGGGAAAAAAGCAACTATATTGGAGGAGGTTCGCTCATCCATCCATCCGTGGTGATGACCACGGCACATAAAGTTGCAGGCAGAAAGCCTGAAGACGTAAGTTGTTTTGAGGAAATAATTCCATTAGGCACAGCAAGCTATAGTTTTAACCCCCGACACAACAAAACGGTGTTAAATGTTTGTATTGTGTATCTGCGTGTCTATGTGTGTATGTGTGTATGTGTGCGTGCGTGCGTGCGTGCGTGAGTGCGTGCGTGCGTGCGTGCGCGCGTGTGGCGTGCGTGCGTGCGTGCGTGCGTGCGTGTGCGTGTGCGTGTGCATGTGCGTGTGCGTGTGCGTGTGCGTGTGCGTGTGCGTGTGCGTGTGCGTGTGCGTGTGCGTGTGCGTGTGCGTGTGCGTGTGCGTGTGCGTGTGCGTGTGCGTGTGCGTGTGCGTGTGCGTGTGCGTGTGCGTGTGCGTGTGCGTGTGCGTGTGCGTGTGCGTGATTAAGTTGTTTTCGTCGAAAGGTGTCTTAATCGGTGTGTCCTTAGCTGTGTTTCAAGAAATTCTGTTCAGCCGTTTGATCATCAACTATTTTTGTTTGGCGGGTTTTTGAATTTTCATTTATGTTATGTTTACGTTATACCAACACTAAAAGTTCCAAACATTCGTCCGAATCTGAGCGAAATTATTTGAATAAACTATAACCCTGTATAGACGGTGCGAAATTAAAAAGAAAAGTGAGTGAAAACGAAAATGGTGGGTGATAATCTCGTTCTTTATGATACCTCGTTGGTCTAGGGGTCGAAAACACGATTGCTGATCAAGAAGTCTCGGGCGTTGAATCCCAGTTCGGGCCAAAATCAGTTCTTTGGTTTTTCTATAAGAAAGTCTTAGTAGCTGCACGGAGTCAGGAAGTTGGCGGTGTCTCACCCCCGTGCCTCGAAAAGCACGTAAAGCCGTTGGTCCTTCAAATGATCTCTCTCCGATCGTGTCGGCTTACCGTCCCATTGGACTATGAGAATGAGGGAATAGAGAGTGCACCTGTGCTTACGCATACACTTGAACGCTATAATCCCGTCCTGCGCCGATGGCTAGTCTCCGTTGAGGTATATATGATATTATTATTAAAGATTGACCGAATGTTCGTTTCATATTCGGTATTCGCCATGTTCGACTAAATCCGTCGTTTAGTGGTACTCAAAATGTCCACTGTATTGAAATGTACGAATTGCGTAATGCCATGTCTTTCATAATTTTACTGTTGAAAGTATATTTTATTTGTGTGTTATATCTACTTGTATAGCGTTATGTTTTTGAGGCACTGTAGATTTATTTCCAATTATAGCAAATAGAAAGCTTAATAATATGTTTTTCGAATCAAACAAAAAAACATTACATTACATTAGTACATTTCACATTACTTTGATCGTCAGTTTTTCTAAAATAAGTTTAAATAGTAAATTTCCCGCCACTTATTTTTTATCATATAATTAATTATCAATTTTCACTAAGAATAACACAACGAAATACTTTTTTTCTCACAAAAATAGTCAAAACAAGCATGTGCCGGCAATTTTCTCAGTACTAGATGATGCAATAACAAGTCAGGTATGGCGGGGAGCAAGGGACAGGGTCCGGCACTAATCTCGCGCGCTTTACGGTAACAAATTTCGACATAAATTGGTTAGGAACCGAGGTGATCATGCCGAATATTCGGTTCGGTGAAACTTTTGCCGAACTTTCAACCAAATATTCGTACTCAGTGAAATCCATATTCGGTCCATCTCTAATTATTATTACAAATGATACTACTCTCGATACATGTGCTTATTAATTTGTTTAATTCTAAATATTTGATAGATAACTTACCCCATTGTTATGCTGACGTCATGAAAGAGATAAAACTAAAAGTTTTATAAGTAGTTGGTCGCGCTAATGATCAATAAATGATGCGGTGATTGGGGTATCGGGTTCGATTCTCGGGTCGGGCCTTGACCTTATCATGCGAGATGTTACTATGTGGACTGTATGCGTGGTTCTCTATAGCCAATGCAAGATGGCGGAAGTAGCACGTGGCCGGCCTTTGGATAATGCACTAGCTAGGACCTAATCTACTATATTAGCTGGTGCATTTAGGAGCGTGAGCTGTTGTAGGGAATGTGCGAAATGTGTGAAATGTTGTAGGGGGTGCGCCTGTACAGGAAAGGAGATATAATGATAGGGAAAGGATACCAGCTAGTGTTGCTCAAAATTGGTCTTGGTCTTGTTCTTGCATTTTTGCAAGACCAAGACCATGAAGAAGACCGCCTAATTTTAGCAAGACCAAGACCAAGACTGACCGTGCAAGATTTGAACAAAAACAAGACTAAGCCTGCGAGACTCTTGCGTCTTGCAGTTAAGAATGAGTGTCGTTTCAGGGAGTATAGGAGTTCGGGCATACGCTTAGGGACTCTACGAGACGCAAAAAATATATTTAAAAAATTGGAAATTTGGACTTATGCGCATTACGAACAATACCATAAACATACATAGCGGATGAAAATATCCATTAAAAAAAAACAGTGCATCCCTAGTTTTGACCATCGGCACTTTGATAGTGCGCGGCGTCTTGTTGTCGGCATCATCAACTGACCTGTCAAAGAAATTTTACAGCTATTCGGAAGTACAAGGTCAAGAGAGACGCGCCGACGGCTTCTATTGATATCGCATTCAATCGTCGCCGCCACGCCGCACGCACTACATTTGACACTGTTTGAATGCCGCCACAGAGTACATGTTCCAAAGAATAAAATAAGTTTCCGGGTGCTCAGAATGGACACGAATACATTACGCTAATCTCGCAAGGAATATTGTAATTAGATAATGGTAAGGATAGGTAGATACCATAATAATTTATTCTAGTAAGTAATTATTATAATATTAACTATATGGGTTTATAATAATTACTTACTATTATTATTATTATTACCTAATAGATAAACATGTTCAATAAGTTCACTGCAAATTTCGATTTTTGGAAGTGTGTGTTTTTGAACACAAATTGTTCGAATATGTCGTCACCCATTTGATAAATATTGTAGACACGTTTAACACACTTGAAACGTGTAAACATTTTGTACAATGCTAATCGAATAATATAAAAAGTGTGCATATTAAATAAAAAGCGTAAAATAAGATCTATGTACTTTTTAGGAGCCCGAGTATCTCTTAGAGAACCGTTTAAAGAAATTGATTGCATCGAATTGATGATTTACATCAATTCGATGCACAATAGTGATTTGCACAATTTTAATAGTAGAAATAAAAATAAAATCACAATACCTGCTTTCCGGTTACACAAAGTATATAATGCGTTCTTGGGTAGCGATATACGCTTTTATAATAAGATTCCAAAAGAAATCTTTTACCTTTTCAATTTAAGTCAGACAAAAATGCTTGGAACTGACCTCTCGTACTACACAAGACTAACTAGAAATTTCTAAACCGATTTGGTATCTATATATACATTTGACATTTTATGTTTGACTTATCGCTTTACATAATTATAGAACTATTGTAAAAATATTTTGAAAAGAGCAACTACTGAGTTTCTTCTCTTTTTCAGTAAAATCAGAACCCCTGGACATGGAAGTTGAGAAAACAGTGATTATATGTCTATTCAAAAGTGTATTTTTAATGCCTACTTGAATAAAACATATTTGAATTTTGAAGTTCAAACGAGTGAAGGCAAATTTAATTTAATTAACGTAGATTAATTCAATCACAAGAAGAACATAATATACAAATTTTATTTACATATTTACATTTCACTTTTACGTAGGCACACTATACCTATCTGGCAACGCATCTACTTTATTAATCTTCTGAAGAATCATTAATTTTATCAAAGGATCCGAACCTTCCTTTGTCGGTCTTTCGGCGTGTACTTACAAATAGTAGTATTTATTTTAATTCCAGTCATTCCCAATTGAGGTTTGCTTCGAGTCTAATGTATTAATTGTTTTTACTCTAATCCTTGTTGTTCTCGGAGTGATAAGTTTACAATTTGACATGAGTGACGAAGAGTCGAATAGTTCTAGTCGGAGTAGTGAGAGTTGGAGTTATAGATCTAAAAGACCTAAAAGTAAATTTGATGAGTTTTTCGACATAATTCATGCATCCCAAATTGCTTTGTGTAAATTATGCCAACATAAAAAGGTTGAAATAAAAATGAAAAACAGAAACACTTCAGGCTTAAGGAAGCATCTAATATCTTTCCACAAAAAGGAATCACAAATATTTCTTCCTGAAAAACCAAAATTAAGTGGAGATATCACAAGCTTTTTAATAACCACCGGAAAAAGTGGACAGGTAAGAAAAAATATACTTATCACACAATTACATAACACATATATTATGTAACTAGCGGCCGCCTGCGACTTCGTCCGCGTACAATATCTGATTTCCTATGAGATTTTGAAATTTTCTCACTGCAAAAGTCTTACCTAAGTATAAAGAGGCTATATAGGTAAAGCTTAACTATGCAAGTATTTATTATTCGACTTGCATGTAACCATTTTACCCCAATTTCACCCACTTAGGGTTAGGATTTCGTAAAACAGCTTATTCAGGATTTTGTTATTGAAAATTTATAACTTTATTGCAGATTTTCGTGTCTTTAACTTCAAAAACGTAGGACTTTCATACAAACTTCCAACTCCCATTTCACTCCCTTAGGGATAGATTTAAACATTTCTTAACTGATCTCTATGCCATAAAAGGAACCTACCTTACAAACTTCAAGTTTTTATGTTTTATAGTTCCTGAGTTATCGTTATAGTCGTCAGTCAGTGAGTGGTAGTTATATATATATATATATATATATATATATATATATATATATATATATATATATATATAGATTATAGTGTTAAATATGTATTTATAATTCATCACGACAGCTACAGTTGATTGGATTAACCATCCAATCAACTGTAGCTGTCGTGATGAATTAAAAATATCTTCCCTTCTCATTTTTCGATGACGAAACTACACAAGTATATTTTCGATCAATTTGCCCAAATATGGTGTTTCCTAAAAGGTCCACACTTAGAAGGAAGGTCAAAAACGAAACGACTACAACAATTTTCATCTAAAATGTCATTTACCATTGATGGATGGACGTCAATTGCTGGTAGGAGTTACTACGGGGTCACTATTCATTATATAGACAACGAATGGAAGTATCGATCTGTAGTCCATGATTTTATACCATTACGCGGTCGACATACTTGGGAAGATATTGCAACAATTTTCCACGAATGTTTATTGGAATATGAAATAATAGATAAAATACAGGTAAATATCACGGTCGACAACGCAACTGCAAATACCAAATTTATGTATGAATTGGACAAACAGCTGCCACACTTTGATTCAGACAATCAACGTTTCCGGTGCTTTGCTCACATTTTGAACCTTGGTGTACAAGATTTATTAAAGACCTTAGCATTATACAGTGAAAATGACAATAAGGGACAAGAATAGCAGTATGAAGGTAATGAAGATGAAACTGAGGAAGATGAAGAATATGCGCCAAATATTGCTGACTCACGTACAGCTATTACAAAATTACGCAGTATTTCCAGTAAAATAAAAAGAAGTGAGATATTGAAGAGGAAGTTTCAGTCTGCTTGTGAAGCAGCTGGCGTGCCATCAAATCTGAACCCCATACTCGACTGTCCAACAAGATGGAATTCCACACAAGATATGATTGGATTTGGTTTAAAAGTGCGAACTGGCATTAACATATTGTGCACTTCTGTCACCGAATTTAATGATTTTCAAATCACAGAAAGTGAATGGCAAATACTCGAAAAAATACTTAAGTTTCTGATAAACTTTAAACTTCTATCAACGAAACTTGGTGGAGAAAAATATGTTACATTACCGCTAGTCATTGTATCATTCAATCTCTTGCTCGATAAAATTGAATCCATGGTAAAACAATTAGATGAGAAACCTAATCGATCCGAAGTGGATGAAAGGCTCATTCTGGGTTTTCAAGCAGCTTGAGACAAAATGCTTAAACATTATAAAAAGAGCAACTGGATTTATTGTACCTCTTTAATTTTAGACCCAAGGCATAAGACTCAGACTTTTGACATGACATTATGGCGGAAGCAAGTTAAAACAGAAAGCCTGCGCAAATTTAATGAACTTTATAAAGAATATAAAAGTCTGCACTCAGTGAATATATCTCTAGAATCGCCAAGAAATGAAAAGAAAGTATGTGAATATGATGAAGATGAAGACGTAATAGACTTTGAGAAATTGTATGTATGTCCCTCGAAGTCATCTGGATCAGGATCTTTTCATCAAGGCTTAGTTATAGACAAGTTGGAGGAGTACCTAAGTAAACCCAGAGCCGCCAGTTCGGAAGACATTTTAGAATGGTGGAGGACGCATGAGACAGAATATCCGACTTTATAGAAGATGGCCCCTGATTTTCTTTCAATACCTGCAACTTCAGTACCTCCTGAGAGATTATTTTCTAAAGCATCATTAGTAATTAGAAAACATAGAAATAGGTTAAGTGATGAGTCAGATCCAGATGGTTACTTTGTATTAATTCTTGTTCAAAAGAATTAATATAAAGTAACAGTAATGTCAAAGCTGTTGTGTACTGTTATGTAATTTAATTTGTATTGTATTTTATTTTTTTATTTAAATAAATGGTAAATTGTATAACTCTTTTATTCCATTTCATATAAGGGTCTATCAATCTCTTTCTAGACAGATAATGTTCTTTAGACAGTTAAAGTTTTAGCACATGTAAGCTTATTAAATGTAAACGTTTATTAAGAAACAGACTAACTCCCGTGGCCGTGAGACTTGGTAGACAGCTCAGTTGGTTAGAGCATTGGCACGGTTCGCTTAGGTCGTGGGTTCAAACCCCACCCGGTATTAGTTGATTTTTCGAATTTCTCATTAAATGTTTAGACATTTATTAATTTGGTTGGTCTTTCTATGGCTATGTTAATTCAAGCTCAAAATGTGCCTACTCTGTTAAGTTGTTCTAAGATCTAAGGTAACGTTTAATAAATAACAATAGGCTAATAGGTTTTAAAAAGTAACAAGGCGTGACTTGCGAGACTCTTGCTGCAAGACCAAGACCAAGACTGAGAGTGCAATACCAAGACCAAGAACAAGACCAGGTGTATTGGCGCAAGACCAAGACAAAGACTGGCTAAGTCTCGTCTTGATCTTGCATTTGGGCAACACTAATACCAGCTAACATATTCTACACATACGCGTTTTGGCGCAACCAAAGTAAAAACCTACTTTTTACTGGAAACGAGGCATTCCATCTTAATCCTAAGGGGTGGTACCGCATCTGCATTTTGTTTCTTAATCGAGGATAAATGTAGGTGCCTATGGGCTCCAGCATCCACTAACCATCAGGCGGACTGTGTGCTCGTTTGTCACTTTCATTCCAAAAAAAAACTATATAAAATAATAATTAGGCATACGTTAATGTCCGTTTCACACAGTTGAAGATCCGCGCTGGGGAATGGGACACCACGTCACTAGATGAAGAATACGAACATCAAGAGAGAACCGTTTCCAAGATCGTCATACATCGTGACTATTTCAGACGTGAGTTTGTGAGATTACTGTTAATAAACAGCATATTAAAACTCCACTGCTGGACATTACCCTCCCCACAGAGTGCCTTGAAGGGGGAATATTATTTATAAGCAACTAATTATTAATAATAAACATAAAATGTTGTCACAATTCAGTTGTCAAGAACAGATATAAAAATAATGTTTGTCGACAGTCGAAAAAAATGCTAATTAGTAGATTTTGAAAAATACAGCAGCAAAACTGTTTAACTATATGTTAGTGTGGTAAAAATATTTATTACCCACAATTTTTTTATTTCTCTTGTTATTGTTGTGTTTTGATGTATTTTTACTAATCCTAGTTATTATTTAATTTCTTAACAATTTGCCATAGCTGTCACGCTCATTGAAAACCACAGTTTTTAAGTTAAGAGATATCGTCAGTTAACGGTCTTAATTTGGCCCATTTTCAATATATCGCCAATTTGGTCGATAAACTTGCGCCTAGGACGTCCCTTTCCGACACTGCCGTTCACTTCTACAACTCCTCGATAATTCTTTCTACGTGACCAAACTACCGAAGCATTCCTTTCTTAATCCTCGTCACATCATCTTGCAAACCACACAATTCTATTATCACAAAATTTCTCACCGTGTCTTTCAGATTTAGCCCTTTTTTTAACTGGCTTTACGACTCTGGGTACTAGCCCTTCTGAGCCTATCATTTCTTTCAGAGTCTTCATTTTATACATTTTTTTCTTCACAATATGCTGATGCGTCTCATTGCAGAGCCCTTGGGAGATTTTGACGACAGCTCAACCCAGCGGACAGTTGATAACGACAGCCACTCAAGTTCATGAGGCGCCCAAGCGATCAAAATAACTTGAGGTTTATATCGACATCAAAGCACTTGTTTCGTCGTTTTCTCTAATAGTTCACACACGAGAAAACTTAATTCACAAAATCGCATCACTATTACGAATCAAAATCCACTTTAAACCATTATCCCTCTACGGTCAAGTTCCCGCCAAAACTCAGATTTAGCCCTATGATACTCCATAACATGGAGGTTAGAGAACAGGAGAACGATCACTGTAGAAAATAGTTTCCCAGAAATATGAACAAAATAAGTGAGACGCTGCGATCGCTAAGTTGTCTCAATAAAAGCGGGCTGTTGTGCGCTAGTTTGAAATAATTATATCATTGAAAGAAAAAAAACGAAATGATTATGTATTATTATTAATAAATAAATTATAAATTACGTTTTTAATAATTTTAATTATTACAAACATTACAAATATAAATTATTATTTATTACTGATTTTTTAAATACTATTTCACCATTTTATAATGTTTCTTTTGTCAATAATTAAATTATTACTTCGCAGATACTAGGTATTTACCGGCGGCAGCGCGGTTATAAATTCTACGATCGTTCTCCTGTTCTCTAACCTCCATGCTCCGTAATGACCACATTTCTACTGCATTTATTCCAATCTCGTGCTTTTTCTGCTACTTATATACTATAACTTTTTTACCATAAATTAAAGTAGGAACTAACAAAGAATCACCTCACCATCACATCACCTCTCCATTTCACGGACAACAAATTGTAGGCATAACGCCTACTTCATAATTCTTATATAGATGGCCTACTTTTAAAATATATCCTAGTCACGGCACCAGGATGGTAAATCTCCCCCCCCCCCTTTCCTCTTTTTTCATATTATTTATAATTAGGTAATTTCCCCTTTTATAATAATATTATATATATATATATATATTTTTAATATATTCTCTGCGATGGTTATATATTATTATAACCATCGCAGAGACGCAATGCTGCAGAACGCAACAACTATCATCGGGCCTACACCATTCCAAGCTCCCCCATACATCCCAGCAGACATCACCACCCGCATACCTCCATCGACCAGAACCACAAGAGTGCGTCGAATCAGGCGCAGCACACCCGCAGATCCATCACAAGACGCAATACCGCAAGAAGCAGTAAGCATCAATGCAACTATCATACGGATGGCGCCCCCTCACAACACACCCACATGATCCCTATCGACTTTGGTAACAAAATTTGTATTGTTGTTAATTAAAAAATATTACCAACGTATCATAGTAGCACACTACTAAGACGCTAGTGAACAAAACTCCACGTTTCATAGCGCCAATGCACTAAGACATGAAGTTGAGTATGCCTGTTACACTTAAAAATGCTAACAAACACACTCATTCCAATCCGAAAGATAGACGACGCATCGCTATCCGCTACGACTCCGCCCACAAACGGTATGGGTTTGCGATGTCCACGGGAAAGCCGTATTGCTACAACAAACCCGCTTACCACCGGCACTAAGATGATATTTCTAGGACACATCGGTTAGCGAGTCCAAGTTTACCTCGGACCAGTTGCTCGTGAATCAGCATACACGCCACCATAATAATCCTTTTCAAGTCCTTTTTATAGGACTAGTCATGTGTTACAGTACTAAGAGCAGTCGGTCACCCGACCACCCCATTATGCATCAAGGAGACCTTCTATAATAATGCTTTTGTATCATAGACCTTACTATTACATGTCTTTAATATATAGGACTTCAACCCATAACTTTACTATTGTAATGCAAATTCATCATATAGACCTTCTATGGTATTGCTTTTGTATCATAGACCCAACAATTATATGTCTATATGCGAAAGAAAATCTCTTCACATCGCCAGTGAATTGCCGATCGGAAAGCACTCGGTCGTCGACGATTCGAGCCACTCTGCGCTGGATGCGGTCAAGTGGAAGGAGCTGGTACTGGGGAGCCCCAGCCCAGAGATGGGAACAGTATTCCATGTGCAGCCGAACCTGCGCCTTATAAAGTTGCAGGCGGTGTGCCGGCATGAAATACTGTCCCGCTCTGCTGAGCACGCCAAGCTTTTTAGAGGCCAGTTGCTTATGCAACATGGAGACCTTCTATAATAATGCTTTGGTATAATGGAGCTTACTATCATAAGTCCCTAATATAGGACTAGTCATTGTGCTACAGCACTTCAAGCAGTCGGGCACCCGACCACCCCATATATATGTACGACCTTGGGTATGCGTCTCTGACAGCTCCTCCATACAAGCAATGTATACATGATCACCCTCCATAACTTCGGAAATTTTTCTTTTATACACGATCTCCTAATAGGATAATTTTTTTACCAATTTTCCAATTATATTATAAATGTTATTTATCTTAATGATTATAATATTTTCGACTTGTATTACTATTATTTATCATGTTTTTAATAAATTTATTTACTTTCAAAGACAATTGTTGATGTTCGTGTGTAAGAATGGCATCTTCCTAGTTTTCCTTAAACCCGATCCGGCTTTTCGAAGGACCAATGTTGATGCTCGTGTGTGAGAATGTTAGTAATGGAGCGGGTTATGCTGGCGGGATGTTAACTGGAGAGCATGCAGTAGCAGTTAGATGAGCAATAAATAACACTTCTTCAGAGTTTCTTCTTATTTATTTTATTGATGCTTTATTCTTACATTGCCGGATTTGGAATGTTTTACCACAAAAAACGCCTCTTTTTTATAGGCAGCTGTGACCAATCAGAATTAATAAAATTTGCACACGGCACTAATGAATTTGTACACGCCACTAATGATTCCCGTCGACCAATCAGAGCGCAGAACGACCTTTTCTAAAGGAAATTTACAAATTTCTTTAATATGTGTGGTAAAACATACCTTACAATGTTTTTATACATTCCTGGCAGTAGAGATAACGTATCTTTATTATTTCGAACATTAAACATTCATAAAACTCTTAATTTATGCTTGTAAAAAATAAAAATAGTGGCGCGGTCTTCCTTTGGTTTAGCTCCGGAGTAGCTAAGCTTTTTCCGCCTTTTACCCACTAAACACTTCCTAAAAGGCGGTGTTTAGTGGGTAAAAGTCTTCCACATAACCACGCAGCCGGCTGCGTGGTATGCTATGAGCATTCACCGCCTCCCTCCCCCGCTTTCCGGAGGGTTGCCCATATTTGCTTCGGGCGCAAAAAAAAAAAAAAAAAAACATACAAGTAGCGCCGCCAGGCGGCAGAAATGCACAATGCTTATCATGACAATATTATGTTTATGAATCTATACAGAATACATTTTAACTTCTTATTAAATTAAAATTTATTTTATAATAAGAAATTAGATTACAAAAGTGAAATATTGACATATTGTCGTTTTAAATTACTTTAAAAGAAAAAGAATTAAACAAATCATTAAACTTACACTTAAATGTTAATATTTCTAATTCAGCTCTTTAAATTATAATAAGAGAAAGTTCTAATAAGTAACTAGACTTATATCTCGTTTCTAACATTCTAATTAAACCTAAATAAGCAATTAGATTCACATTTTCGTTACAGACTTTTGATAGGTACTAACTTTCGTTACGTAATTTTAAAATAAGAATTGAAGCTAATATAAGTAGGTAGTTAATTCACTTTCTTGTTATTAACACTATCAGTCTTTACACTTAGTTTTATATCACAAATAAGAATAAATTGAAATTAAATAATTAAATTCACTTGTCGTCGCTAACAACAATATTTGCCTTTAATTTACTATATTATTTGTTTAATGTCCGAAACGTATTTATCTTAACTTTATGCTAATTAATGTAATTTTATTGTTTAACATATATCTTTTAAGACTATTTTTGATGCCCCCTCATATAGAAATTGATGGCACTTGACACTATCAACTGAATGGGTCAATATTATAAGTATGTGCTTTCCCATTACAGCTTCTCTATACAACGACATAGCGCTACTATTTCTGGAGGAGCCAGTCAATTTAACATATGCACCGCATATAGGCATTGGATGTCTTGGCAAACAGATGCCATCGGCAAACACGAACTGCTTCAGTATGGGTTGGGGCGCTGATAACTTCAACAACAAATCTGTTTTCGCAGCGGTACTGAAGAAGGTAACATTTTCATTGTTTAGAGAAAGAAAGAAACTCTTTATTTTGGCATGACCAGACCATTAAAGTACACAACAATAAACTAATTTATAAATAGAAAAATACCTAAATATTTGATTGTTCGTATTTTATACACTACCATACCGTTCATCAGATTGCGGTAAAACTTTGTCAACATATTGCTTGCACTTGCGCGAAGGTTAAAGACGTAGTTGCTACTAGCGCTGTTTTAGAATCCAGATATTACTCATGCGAAGCCGGGGCAGATCGCTACTTTATAATTTAAAAATAAAACTAAAACCTAGTACCCTTTTTTGTGTCTTCTCTTGCTATCCGACTGCGGACGGTATTGTGTTTATCAGCCTATGTATATTTGTTCTCTTGTAGCGCTCCAGAGACCAAACGCGTGTGCCGATTTTGATGATTCTTATGTCAATCGATTTGGCTCAATCCACTAAGGACATGATAATTATCAAAATTCAATATAGCGACAATTAGACGCCATATTGCTTACAAGAAAAAAATAAAAATCGACGAACTATGTTCTAGTCATTTTTCATTTTGAATGACTATTCAGGAACTATAACGATTTTAAGTTTCTTAGCGACCTGTTTACGCTAAATTGTGGCATTTTGAAACTTGCAAGACGCTCGTTCCGAGCGGGGAACCGGTTTAGCGTTGCGCGGGAGGGGGACGTTCGCATTGCGCCTACGGCGCTGCCAGCGAGTCCAGTCCTGGTAGAATCTTTGTGCGCTACGGCCGTGCCGGTGGTGGGTTGGAAATTAGTCTAGCAGAATCTTTGGACGCGACGACCGTGTCGATTAGAGTCGCGAGTTACGTAAGAATTGCTGCGTCGCATTTCGACGGCCTCCATTGTGTTGTTTTATTTCGTTAATATATGTACGTGACAACGAGGCTTTTTGTTTGAGTTTTGAGTGACATTTTAACTTCAATTGCTATTAATTTGCATCGACGCGTGTCTTGTCTTGTGTTGCGTTTTAATATCGTGCTAAGGAATCTTGCTTTATCGGTTGAACGCTAAACTTTGTGATCTGGGTGGAGATCGCGCTCGATTATAGTTTGTGCTAAGTGACGTTAGACTTTGGTTCCTATACCGGCAGGCGCCCTCTAAAGTGATTGCGCCTTGTGGAGCGTGGCAACGAATGTGGTTTTGCTGAACGATTGCATCGGTGACGTCAGGTTACATTACACACTTTCCTACACAACTCACACATACCATTTACTTACCCCTGACGGTGCCTTGTGGTCGACACTACCTTTGGAGCTCGGTAAGTTTGCTTATACAGCCGTTATAATTTAATTATCCATAGGCCATTAGGGCCCTCTCCTCAGTCGCTCGTCGAATTGGGTTACTATGGGTCCTAGCCCAGTCGACTTTTGTCGGAGTAACTGAGGGCCGTAACACGACCATTCTCGCTTAAATTTTCAAAACTTATAATAAATCTGCGATAAAGTTCTTATATAATCTTATAATGAGTATTGTTGTGTGAATAAGTCAACGTCATACACTAGCGCCATCTAGTGTCAGGAACGAGAGCGAGGGGAGCTTTGCAGAAAATGACATCACAAATCTTTCAACCGACAGCGCCATCCGAAGAACTAAGTTTCTAGAAAATCTACACTCGAACACTCGTCGCTTTGCGCGCATTTACTTGAATATTCCGGATGCTTCATTGCTAATTTGTATATATAGGCGCTGCAAGATGCGATCGGGGCAGTATTGGATTTGGCGAGACAAGCGAAGCTTCGGAGCGGAATAAAGTGAATTAGTGTGTTTAATTATTAGTGTTTTAAGTTTTAATTTGTGTAAGGTAAATTAAAGTGTTAATTTAGGTAATTTTATCGGCAATTTTTAATGGTCACGAACCTCAAGCTCGTAACAGTATTATTAGTAATTTTTTAACGCAGTCGGGTGTTTTTAAACGGTATTAACCTTGATAGTTAAGTATTTTGCACGCTCGAAGGAGTGTGAGATTTGCATAATTAAATTTTATATGGAATAGGAGTGCAGAAAACTAAAGTTTATATTAAATATGCATATACAATTTAATTATATTATATTATATTTATATACAAGCAAAACACTACTGACTCACTTATTCATCACCAGATGTCCAAAACTATACGCCAGATTGACTTGAAATTCGGCATAAATGCGCCTTCCTCGACGTAATCGCCCACTAAGGGAGGATTTTGGAAAACTCAACCCCAAAGATTGTGATAGAGGGAGTTACAGCATGCATATAATACGTGTTAAAAATACATTAATAGATAATGGGGGGACTGAGATGTTTAACGTCAAGATATCATAGTTAACCGCGGGTACCACAGATTAAAATTATTAATTTTTGTTCCGATCTACACAGTATGAACTTATAGTATCTTCAAGTCTTGCAGTTGTATGCTTGGGTTGGGATTTAATTTTATTAATATATGATCCCAAGCAGATGGTAGTGTATAGTCTCGCGAAACATCCGTGGAAGGAATCGGTGTTCTTTAGCGAGGATTTGTAGTCTATCAAATCAGATGTAGTGACGGGGGCGATCCTGTACGTGTTCACAGACTGTAGATTTTCGGAGCGTCGATTCTTCACATGAGCTATATGTTCTTTAACGCGGGTTTTAAATGATCTTTTAGTTTGTCCTATATAAGAGAGACCACATTTACAATCAAGCTTGTACACTCCTGCATCTTGAAGAAAGACATTGCACCTGACTGATGGTAAAAACCGACCAATCTTCTTCGGCGGCATGAAGTATGTTTTAATGGAAGCGCGCTTGAAGATGTAGCTAATCTTGTCAGTGACTCCTCTGACATATGGCAGTACAGCAGGTACACGCTCGACTGTGGCCGAGCGTAACAAAACTTGTAATATTTAAACCTGAAATGTTCGCGTAAATATAAGAAATTAATAGTTAGGTACTTTATTTAAGGGAATTATACAATACAATAAAAATGTGGTGATAAATAGGATGGTTCTTTCCTCTCTCAAAGTCTAAGTATAACTCAGCGAGGAAACGCAGCCAGCGTTCTTGGCACGATACCACGGGGGTAGCACTGTATGACAATTTAAATATTCGAAAGTTTTTTTATACATAATTGAGGGGACAAATGAGCATGTGGCTGAACCTATGGTAAGTGACCTCCATGATCAACTGCCACACCGGCCTACTCTATTTTAAAAGGTCGCGTCAGTAGGCTCTTTTCTGGTCCTTTGAGGTCCGATAAGGTCCCAAAGTGGTAACGGTCCGCAGAAATCGCAGGTGGCAGTCAATTCCACAAAGAAGTTGTGAGAGAAAAAATATCCTGTAAATCGCACAGTAGTGGACCGCCAATCATCCAGGTGGTAAGGATGGTATCTCGAGTTCTGTTGCGATGTACTATGGTTAAATTAAGCGGCTGGAGTTAATCCGTACAATTCCTCTGAGCACTTCCCGTGGTAAATACAATAGAATACGCAAAGAGATGTAACATCGTTTCGCAGCGCAAATCAGTCATGTTGATCAGAAAGTGCTCAGTCGCCGACGATTCGAACTGTTTTACGTTGGATACGGTCAAATTGAAGGAGCTGGCTCTTTTTTTGGTTTATTAATTTTTAATCTAATTTATAAAAAATATAACTGATAGTATAGAAAGAAACATTGACCTTTACATTTTTTGAACAAATTAACTTCCCCGCTATGAAATCTGTTCACTATTACATCTTATTGTTAAGTGGAGTTGCCCTGGTGGCAGAAAAAGTCAAAAATGCCCTCATTTCTTAGGTGCACTACTTGTAAGTAAGCACTAAAACAAAACGTAACATCTTGCGTCTCTTCCTTTTGTATAAACCTTCGAAAACTGAAAGGTATACAATCAGTAGGACGTTGGTTTTCTACGAGTAAATCTAAACCACAACTTAACGCCATTTTACAGGTGAAACTGCCGTTAGTAGAGCACAGTCGGTGTGAGGAGATGCTGCAGAAGACAAGACTTGGACGTATCTTCCGTCTCCACGCGTCTCTCACTTGCGCTGGCGGTCAGGCTGGTATCGACACATGCAAGGGTGATGGAGGTTCTCCCCTCGTCTGTCCGATTGGCGTAAGTGCGTTTCTTTTTTTGAATATATGTCTTATATATATATATATATATATATATATATATATATATATATATATATATATATAATCCTGCCCTGCGCCGATGTCTAGTCTCCGTTGAAACTGGCCGTAACAGATTCGATCTGGAAGACCTTATTATTAAATGGTAAAGAATACCGTGGTTGAGCCGAGCTGCAGTGTATATTCGGCAAAGAACCGGAGAATACTTTTATAAGTAACAGGGCATATAGAGTGTCTTAGTTTACGCCTTCGTTTTTAAGACAAACGAGCACACAGTCTACCTTATGGTAAGGGGATGCTGTTGCCCATAAACATTTACATTTATCCTCGACTAAGAATGAAAATGATTGCAGATGCGTTGTCAAAGGGGTCACCGATTCTCTATTTGTGTTTTGAGTATAGACGCTAATGTGTCAAACACGGTACCATTATGCTGCTATAATGCTGCTGTGATTCATACGATAACTGTTGGGTGAAGGGTACCCATTTAGTGCCGGTGTAAGAATATCCACAACCCCATATCATCCTAAGTTGGGTTTCCAAAGAGGAAACAGAGGACAGCAAACCAGGAGATGGGCAGCGGCGTCTTCCTGATAACAACTCAAAGTTATCAATACTGCAGTTGGCTACCCGCTATCCAAGCGTGGCATCATCATCATCATCATCATTACAGCCCTTCACAAATCCACTGCTGAACATAGGCCTCCCCCAAGTAACGCCACAAAGCACGGTCCTGAGCCACCTACATCCATCGACTTCCTGCATGTCTTACTAGGTCGTCACTCCATCTAGTGGGGGGTCGCCCTACACTACGCCTACCGGTACGAGGCTGCCACTCGAGAACCTTTCTTCCCCATCGGTTATCGGTTCTTCGAGCTATATGGCCAGCCCATTGCCACTTCAGCTTACTAATCCGTTGGGCTATGTCGGTCACTCTGGTTTTACTGCGGGTATCCTCATTTCTGAGTCTATCACGCAGAGAAACTCCGAGCATAGCCCTCTCCATAGCTCGCTGAGCGACCTTGAGCGTCCTCATACGGCCAGCAGTGAAGGACCACGTCTCTGATCCGTAAGTCATCACTGGCAACACGCACTGGTTGTACACTTTAGTTTTCAGAGATTGAGGTATACCTGACGAGAAGATGTGTCGTAATTTCCCGAACGCTACCCAGCCGAGTTGAATCCGTCGATTGACTTCTCGGTCGAAGTTGGACTTACCTAGTCGGACTATTTGTCCCAGATAATCGTACTCGTCAACAACTTCAAGCATAGTGCTCCCCCACAACTACCGGCATAGGTGTGACATGGACATTGAACATAATCTTTGTTTTGTCCATGTTCATCTTAAGACCTATCCGTTGGGAGACACCATTGAGGTCATTGAGCATAGTGCTAAGGTCCTCCAGCGATTCTGCCATAAGGACTATATCGTCGGCAAATCGAAGGTGAGTGATGTACTCGCCATTGATGTTAATACCGTATCCTATCCAGTCCAGTAGCTTGAAAACGTCTTCCAACGCAGCGGTGAAGAGTGTCGGGGATATAACGTCACCCTGTCCTTACACCTCTCTGCAGTTGGATAGGTTTCAAACTCTAGTTCTGTACTCGGATAGCCATCGTAGCCCTACTGTACAAACACTTCAGCACTTCGATATACCGACAGTCAACTTGGCACCGCTGAAGGGACTGTAGCTTCGCCCAAATTTCGACGGAATCAAAGGCTTTCTCATAGTCCACATACACCAGGCAAAGTGGCAGATTGTACTCCTCGGTCTTCTGTACAATCCGCCGCAGGGTATGTATGTGGTCTATGGTACTGAAGTCTTTTCGGAAATCGGCTTGTTCGGGAGGCTGGAAGTCGTCGAGTCTGCGTGCGAGACGATTCGTAATGACTCTCGAAAACAGCACGTAGACGCGGCTCAGAAGGGAAATCGGTCTGTAGTTCTTTAAGAGAGCGTTGTCGCCTTTCTTAAAGAACAAGACCACCGCACTTCTGCTCCACGCCTCCGGAGTAGTGCCACCATGGAGGACGGAATTGAAGAGCTTCTGAAGGACTTCAAGTACCGGTGTTCCACCCGCATTCAGAAGCTCCGCTATAATTCCATCTTCGCCTGAGGCCCTGCCGTTTTTAAGGTGCTGGAGAGCCATTCTAATCTCGCTCAGACTGAAGTCCGGGATATCATCGGAATAGTGTCGGGTAAGACTTGCTCTTGTATCGTTAGTCACACTTGCGTGTGGCTCCAACGATGATGTGTACAGCTGCCCATAGAACCTCTCAATCTCACTCAAAATCTCAGGTGTCCCGGAAACGATGCTGCCACACTCAGTCTTCATCTTTGACAGTTGGCTCTTTCTGGCAGACAGATCTCTGGCAAAGACTTTGAAGCCCTGGTTCCGCTCGATCGCTTCTTTAATACGAGCAGTATTAAAGTTGCGTAAGTCTTGTCGCATGCAGTTGGAGATCTGCCTGTTCAGTTGCCTGTATGCTGTCAAATCTGTTGACGATTGCAGCCTCATCTCCCGTCTAACATCCATGAGATTAAGAGTGTGATCGGAGAGTTTTTGTGTGCTTCTGCGGCTGGTCTTGCAGAACTTAGCTCCGACCGCATGGACAGTTTCCACGAGCTTTTCATTCATATCGTCCACTGCATTGCAATCTTCTAGGCACTGAAAGCGGTTACGTAACTCGAGCTGAAAAGTCTCGGGATTCTGGATTAGAGCACGAGGGGGACGGAGTGTTGACTTCATTAGACGAGACCTCTCCAACTTAACGTTTAGGTTCAGTGTGCCTCTAACCATTCGGTTTTCACCCTTGCGATCACTGAGACATCACTGAACAGTTGGCGTCTGATCGTCATAATGAAGTCAATCTCATTTTTTGTCGAACCATCGGGGCTCGACCAGGTCCACTTCCTGTGGGGCCGCTTCTGGAAGAAAGAGTTCATCATAAAGAGTCCCTCTTTCTCCATAAAGTCAGCCAGCTGCTGGCCCCTACGGTTCCGTTGCCCTACTCCAAATTTACCTAACTTCAGCTCACCGCCTTCTCTTGTGCCCAGTTTTGCGTTGAAGTCTCCCATCAACACCGTGTAGTGGGTTTTGGAAGAATGCGTGGCTCTAGAAATATCCTCATACATTTCCTCCACCTCCTCATCGGGATGTGCCGAGGTTGGTGCGTAGACCTGTATGACCTTCAGCGAATATCGTTTGGTGATTCTGAGTATCAGGTACGCGACCCTCGTCGACACACTCACAATCTTTACAACGTTGTTTACGAGAGACTTGTGGACGATAAATCCGACACCTCCTTGGGACAGATGGTCGCCCTCCCGGTGATAGAACAAGTTGCCGGACTCGAGGATTACCGTGTCCTCCTCCTCTCTTCGGACCTCAGATAATCCAATAATATGCCAGCGCAACTTGTCTACCTCTTCTTCCAGCTCCAGTATCTTCTCGTCAGTCCTCAGGGTGCGTGCGTTATACGTTGCCAGGTCGAGTCGTCATAGGTGGCAACCGAACCTCCACCGGAGATTCTTAGCACCCCCTGCCCCGCCGTTACCATGGTCGACCACCGTAGCCAGGAATAGCGGGGCCGCCGGGGACTGGGGGCCGTTTATTTGTGTCGTTGCTCATGGGGGGATATTTGCCTGGGGGGATATTACCATTTGCCACGATTGGCGAGCGGGTTGGCAACCGCAGTTTTTTATCATATTATTGTTATTATTAGGAAGATGCTGCTGCCCATCTCCTTTCCGTGTCCCTCTGTTGCCTCTTACGACATCCACGGGAAGATATGGTGTAGTGGATATTCTCAACCGCCACTACACGGCTTAAGCGTGGCAACTATAGGGAAATCCCCCATATGAGGCAATCTACAGGGGAGGCCGATGGATAATAGAGTGAAGGGGCTGCAGACCCCTTAATCAGTGAAGCGACATCATAGAATACTATGATACACAATAGAATGGCTGTCAACCTTACTTTGTAGGAGGATTGGCGTCGCCGGGAGCAAACTTATGTATGTATTATAGTATTCTATGAGCGACATACTCTCTATTATCTTGATGTTAATGCTGTTAGTCTATGCGACTCTTACAGCTTCATCTTGTCACAGGGCTCGCGGCCTGCAAGGCCGCGAGCTAATTAGGCCGCGAGCTAATTAAGGCCGCGAGCTAATTAAGGCCGCGAGCTAATTAAAATGAGCGACATACTATGAATGAAATAGAAAAACGTTGTCACCCTTGCCTTAGCTGGCAAGGCAAGAGCAAAAATTTACTAACAGTAGTTGTTGGTAAGGGTGACAACGTATTTTAATTGGGAATTCCGAATCACATGTGTAAAGCCGAGACGGATCGCTAGTTGTTATAAAAACTGTTTTCATTTTAAGTTTCTATACTATTTCACCAGGTCGGTGGTACGCGGTTTGCTATCTTCGGCATGGTTGCCTACGGCGTCGGGAAATGCGGCCAGACTGATATTCCCGGTGTGTACGTGAACGTCCCGGACCTTTATGACTGGGTGGAACAACAGCTCTACACCCAGGGCTATGATACCCAATCTTACGTTTATTAATAGAAAGCGAAAATTGGACCAACGTTACTATAAAATTATTAACAAAATATTTTGCGTTTAAATAAATAGATTACTAAGTTATTTTAGTTTTGTTATTGTTATTTTTGCTATCACTGCACATATCAAGTCACGTAAAAACCAAGTCAATACCATGCGCATTTTTATTAGACCAGGGGCAAATGGAACATAGGCATAGAGGCAAAGAGGCATAAGCATGCTCACCTAATGTTAAGCTTCACCCGCCGTCCATAAATAACGGCAACACCAGGCGAATTGCAAGTGCATTGCCGGCCTATAGTAAGGTCGTCTCTTGAAGCACACAAACACATTTGCATCTAAAATTATTTACAACGAAAGATATGGCTTTACGTGCATATGTGTGCGTCGAGCTGTGAACTTTAACGAAATGAAGAAGAAAGATACGTGCTTGAGTATGAGTCAAGAAGTTGAACATGGTTTTTGCGTCACTACGTCTCTTTATTTTTTTGTTCCGAGACCTATCTATAAAACTGCTCCTCCTTATTAACTAGCCATACAAGTCCAAGTCTTCTTCCTTATTATGTAATATCAATAAAATTTATAAGTTGAGAGTTTTTTTATTAGTTTGGCAACAACCAGTTGATTCTGCCAGCGTCAAGTATTTTGTTCGTGTACAGTGTGAGCCCTACTCAGTGCTCTCACTTGTGAAAAATTCGTTCTGTTATGGACCGCCAGCATACTACCGTATCCTAGGGAGATATATGACGTCATAAATCGCCGCTATTTTTGTACTGTGACCACTGGCAGTTGCGAGGTAAAGTGCTCTCAGTACTTTGATCACGTGATAAAAAACATAACAGCGGCTAGATATTTTTACAGCTTCCCCGTGTGACTGTTAGCATATTATTAATTAATATTGGTAATCGAATAAACTCGGACATTAAGTTTTAAAAGCAACAACATTCAAATAATACTTTTTCTTGTTGAACAGAAAACGTGTATGTGATAAATATTTTTATATGTAATACGATGTTTATTATATTTTAAAACATTGTCGAAAAATAGGAATGACAGTATAGACACAGATATTGACTTCATTCCGTTTTAAACAATAACCAGTATAGCAAACTAAAAAGTATCTATATAATTCACAGTATACTGATTGACGTCACACCTTACAATGGTGACAGTATATATCGGAACACATCTTTTATGAAAGTCACATAGTGTATTTATTATACTACGAAGTTTCCGTTACCGTAGATAAGTTTACTTTGACTTTTCTTCTTTCTTGATTTTCTTGCTGATCACAAGAGCTCTTCTCTGCCGCGAATAAAATACGTCCACACTACCTATTTATATTACGTATATTTTGAACGCTTAAGTGGTAATTCACGGTACGGAACTTTTTATTCCTTCCTCTGTGGTGCCCATCGGAAGCAAATCTCAGCCATGGTTTGGTCGCTCCTGTAAAATAACATCATGCTATAAGCAGGAGTGCTACCAAGCCTGGGCTGTCGCATCAACGTCTCGGGATGTAAACACCAGCGCTCTAAAAAAGAAGTACAATTCCGCCTCCAGGTCCTTTAAGAGTCATTGCCAAGGCAAAGTCAGAGCACATAGGCAGAATTGGCGAGAAACTAGTTCACCTTCCTTCTGGAACCCGTGCATTCTGGTCTCTCGCTAAGGCTATCCAAGGGAATTTCTGTCAGCCATTTCTTCCATCTATGCACAAGAAGGACGACTCACTGGCCCATACCGCAAAGGGGAAAGCCGATGTATCTGCTAGGCTCTTTCTTTGCGTCCAACTCGACTCTCGATGACGGGGGAACTACGCCGCCGACCATCCCGCGGTGTGAGTGCTCCATGAAGGAGGTGCAGTTCACACAGTGCTCGGTTCGCAAACCACTCCTCTCCCTGCACATCCACAAGTCGAGTGGGAATGACGGAATCCCCCCGATTGAGCTGAAGAAGTGTGCGGTGAGTTGACACCGGTCTTAACGCGCCTTTTCCGATACTCCTACTCTCTAGGCGTAGTCCCAATCATGGAAAATGGCCTTCGTCCATCCGATCCCTAAAAAAAGCAACCACTCAGACCCGTCCAACTACCGGCCCATCACCATCACCTCCTTGTTCTCCAAAACAATGAAATTCATTGTAAACTGCCAGCTCATGAGGTACCTTGAGAATCACCAGCTGATTAGTGATCGCCAATATAGTTTTCGTCGTGGTCGATCAGCTGGTGATCTTCTGGTCTGCCTGACTCATAGATGGGCGGCGGCAGTAGAGTCCAAGGCCTTCGATCGGGTTTGGCACAAAGCGCTTCTTTCGAAGCTCATTTCCTATGGGCTTCCCGAGAACTTGTGCAATTGGATCACCAGCTTTCTTGCCGATCGGAGCATCAAGGTCGTTGTAGATGTTGCAAGCTCAGATTACAAGCCTATTAATGCTGGTGTTTCGCAAGGCTGCGTGCTATCACCAACGCTGTTTCTTCTGCATATCAATGATATGTTGCAAACTGGCAACATCCATTGCTATGCAGATGGCAGCACTAGTGATGCTCTGTACAGCGGCCGTGACAATATTTCTCGGGAAAACGTTTTCGAGTACCGGGACAAACTTGTATCTGAAGTTGAGTCTTTGCTGAACAGAGTCTCGGATTGGGGGCAACTAAATCTAGTCCAGTTTAACCCTCAGAAGACACAAGTTTGCGCGTTAACCGCTAAAAAGAATCCCTTTGTCGTATCTCCTCAGTTTCTAGGTACTCCCCTTGTTGCCTCAGCCAGTATCGGAAACCTCGGCGTTGAAATATCGGGTGGGGTGCAGTTTCGTGGTCACTTGAAAGAGAAGCCCAAATTGGCCTCTAAAAAGCTTGGCGTGCTCAGCAGAGCGGGACAGTATTTTATGCCGGCACTCCGCCTGCAACTTTGCAAGGCGCAGGTTCGGCCAAACATGGAATACTGTTCCCATCTCTGGGCTGGGGCTCCCGATACCATCCACACCATTTAGATGCTAGGCGGTCCACCACTGTACGTTTCACAAGGAGTCTTCTTCTGCGTACGACTTCTCTGTGGAATAGTTTACCACCGGCGATTTTTCCGGACCGATACGACCTAGGGACCTCCAAGAAAAGAGCTTACTCCTTTCTAAAGGGCCGGCAACGCACCTGCGATTCCCCTGGTGTTGCGGTTGTTGATGGGCTGCGGGAGTCATTTAACATCAGGTGAACCGTATGCTCGTTTTCCCCCTCTTCTATAAAAAAAAATTCCGTATCTGTGAATGTATATAGCTTTGTAGATTCTTTCAATCGCGGCTTTAAATGTTACACATTTCGTGGCTGTTCCGTTAAAAATAGGAAAGTCTTTCGTTTGCAAGTGTTTCGATTCTCCTATCTTTCCCTCTCGGGGTGAGCGACATAGGTCACGCTCACCATATAACCGCGGTACATCCTGGAATCGTAGTGTATCGCCGGACCGGATAAATAGGGATAGAGATAGCGCTATTGGGCGCGCGTCGGTGTCGTTACCCTATTGCGATTTGTCAGGTTCGATTCTACAGCGGCTCCGTTATACTTCTGTGCTAGGTGGTTACCGTAATGCGGCTGACCATTGTTCGCAACCGTCTTGCGCTGGGCATCTTCATTGTACACGGGGAGTGCAGTGACGTAATCAATCCTTTTTTCCGGCGGGGACTGTATTAAATTGACGAGGGGCGCGGGCCGAGATGGGCGGTGGGATGGCTCCCCTCGCACAGTTTCCAAGTTTTCTAACCACTGATCTACACGGCTCCTATTCTCGGCGACTTCAAGTGCATCGAGACTTTCCCTATCAGTTTAATGTATCAGTGTAGTGTATTTTTGTATTAAAATAGCTGTATTATAGGGACCTGGAATATCGCTAGTCCGTGACCGGACACACTGTAGAGAAAATAAGACCAGCGATGATGTTTATTATATTACATTGCAAATATTCGTTTCGAAACTTTAAAAACTAATAGTTAGGGAGGCATGAATACTGTCTTGACAAACAGGCGGTACGTAAGTGATTTGGATTCCATTTGGAATCCCAATTTTATAATATGTTGAATAACGATCCGGTCCGGCTTCACACTGTTTTCTAGATCTCGTCAACAGCGTCATTTACCGGGTCCAATAGTTAGTGTATTTTTTTTCTGCTGTTCTCAAGTGATGATCTTTCATTCATGGGGCATATGATTTTTATTTATATAGCTTTACCACTTGCTTAGCGTAAAATAAAATTACTGAAACAAAGCTTTATCTGCTTGGGTGAAAATATTTCGAAATCATGAAGTTACTTACTTATCTTCACGCACAATCCCTAACGGGGTAGCCAGAGAGAACAGATCGCCAAGTGTCACGATCCTTACATACCTCTTTCGCTTCTTTCAGGTTCATTAACTTCTTCATACATGCACGTCTAGGTATCCGAGTACTCTTGACCTTCCCCTCTTCGAGCAATTTACTCACATGGTCTTCGAAAGTTAGTCTCGGTCTACCTCGACACCTTTTAATATTTAATTTCGCTCTATATATTTTCTTCACCTATCGGTCTTCACTCATTCGCTCAACGTGCCCAAACCATTGGAGAACGCCTCTATCAATTTCCATCATGAGTTAAGTAGAATAATCACTACCTCTTACCAAATAATATTTATTATTACTTAGAAGCTGAAGTGAGCATCATGAAAGACACAGATGGAAACGAGACAGGATGGGCAGCAGTATCTTCCTCATAACTTGCACTTGCAGAGAGAGGGAACTATGGCAAATATTTCCACTACATTCAGCAGTGGATATTAGATAGGCTGTAATGAATGAATGAATGATTGGTAGTGTCTTGAGCGAGCAGAGAGGAAGACGTCATTGGAATAGTGTCTGATAAGTTTCTTACGTGGTAGAGCCATGCTGCTGGTACTTACTGCATGTGCTGTTGTAGCAGGAATGGGTCGGCTCGACCGGGGAAGGACCACGCTCTCACAGTATACCAACGTTAAATAGCAGCTTAATGTTGCTGTTTTTCGTATGGTATGATGGAGTGTAGAGAACCGGAGACCATTTTTACTGGAAAAGAGGCATTCCATCTTAGGACCTCAAGGCTGACAACGCATCTGCATTTCGATTTGCAAACAAGGATAGATGTAGATGTCTATGGACCACAGCAACCACTTACCATCAGGTGGACTGTGTGCTCGCTTGTCACCCTTTTACCATAAAAAAATATTTGCAGTCGGTGAAACACCCCAAGCCATGGAGTTTTGAAAAAAAAATACAACAGAACCACGTTAACCGACAATTTATTTCTATAGTACAGCAGGAATACTAAAAACTTTCTCTAAATACATAATTAAACAATAATAACCTCTCATAATACAATCATATTCGCAAACTATATTGTCTTAATACGTGGAAACTCGCGTGGCCGCCTTTGAAACCTTGCTGTGGTAAAATTGATTCTAAAATACATTATGTAAGAGTAAATATTGCTGTCTTTAAGGTTGCAAAGGCGTGTACGATTATAAATTATTTGTGTCATATACCGTGCTTTATTTCGTAAGTTAAAACTAAAACCATTTCCAAGATGGCCGCTTTTACTCATTCAATACACCTTGGAGAATAGTACATCACAAAAATAGCTCTTCCTACAACACAAGTTGACCTTAATTATATTTAAATTCTTCTATGGTTGTTATTTAAAAAAATAATTTAATTTTTATTATATGGGCATTTATCAACCCATATAGTTAATTAAACCTACAATATAACGGTAATTTTACTATTTATCAATGTCTTCAAAATTTCAAAATACCGCCATCTAGCGACGTATGCTTGAAAGTCTAAGCCAAATTTGTATTATACTAAGACCTATAGAAAAATTGAGTATTACGGATGACCACAGAAATCTACTTCTCTGCTGGATTAAACGATTAAGATTCACAAATATTAAAAGTACCAAACAAAACAGAAAAGGGTACAGTCTTGTGATAGAGAGGGAGGGATATTAAAAATAACGCAATTCTTAATAAAACGTTACAAAGACAAAATATATATAATTTTATCACTTTATACTTCTCATCCAAGACGAAAATACATTATAAGCAGTATTGGATTGAGAGTAGTTCCAATAATTAATAATCAAATTGATGACCATTTTTAACAAGTTTTCAGTTTTAAGCAATTTTAAAAGTTTCATCAAGCCTCTTGTACATTGGAAATAAGTTTAGAATTGATTACAATTTATACCGCATTAACAAAGCAGGGAGCTAGATACTGAAAACGTAGTAAAAAAAAAAGATTAAATAACTATTTGTGAATATCGTTTCTTAACCCACCGATCGATAAACTAAGAATGCAATCAGATTTAAGGATGTGTCACAAAAAATGCTGGCTTATTTACGAAACATATTTTTATTGTCTTCTAGAGGGATCCGTTACATAGCTAGAGGTTGACAAACCATGTCTCGACATGAAGTACGAGTGCATATTTCTATAGTTTGTGTATGTATGTGTGCGTGAAGCTAGGGTTGCCAACTCTACCATAAAAAAAATATTTAAAAAGGAAATTGTACATTTTGTCACATTGCAACATATTCACATTAAAACATTTTTATGCACAGGAATTCATACTCGCGCATTTTTATACAAAATAAAAAGATTTTTTCCCCGTTGTGATACTTCTGTAAAATAAACTTTGCAAGTGCAATTAAACATCCATTATGTTGTCCTAAAGATATCATTTAGCACTCAGGGGAAGCAATGGAGAAATTTCATCATGTTTACGATAAGTACTACATTTTTAAAAAGATATAATTAAAACTTTTATTACAGCACCCCATGGCTAGAAGACTTAATCTAAGTGCCATCGCCAATGAATCACATACTCTACAAAAAACTAGAGGTCAAACCATTTTAGAAATAAATGGGCCTTCAAATAAATTAAACCCAATTATAATGGATTTTGGCCCGACCCAGGATTCGATCCCGGAACCTCACGTTAACATGGTCGTGATTTATAGGCGTGTTCTTTCGTCTCAGTCATCATGCAATACTTTTTTCCTCAAATAATAAACAAAAAAAAATGCAACATGAGCGGTGCAAGTAAACGCACACCAATGAATATATATGAACTATGTGAAAAATGGGAGCTACGTCGTCGTCGGAGTGACGTCACAGGATCGTCGCAAGGAACGAAATGATTTCTGTACGCGAACCATTTGTAGAGATATTTTAATGATTCTAACACTTATTTTACTTAAATTTTGATATTAAATCTATACAAAAATTGGAAACTTCTCCACTGTGTAGTGATATAGAATAAATATTATTTTTATACCTACAAACAGCGTTTCCATATTGGACAGGCAATTAATGTATTTAGGTATAAAGTTAGCAACCCTATGTGTACGAGTTAACATTAAAATAATTTATTGTAATTTAATAATTATGTAATACACCATATATAAAACACGATATACAACAATCCCAGACTTAACGATAAATACACAACGCAATAGCGAATATCTTGCCAAAACAAACAAATTTGAGCCTTAATATCTTCACGCTAAGAGACATTATGCCTAAACATGTGTAAACGTAAAACATATCGAAATGCCTTTCACTCTTCCGAACAAGTTAAACAACTCTAGTTTTTTTTTTTTTAAGATTTCTGAACTAGTGTAATACTTGGCGTTAAAATCTATTTTGAATAATAGATAAAAAATCATTTATTGTGATATCTTCCAAATTAGGGTTTCAATTATAAACTGAGCACGGAAATGGTATAGTAAACCAGTCAAGTCAGTCTTTATTCCATAAACGCAAATAAACTCGGTTACAGCAGCTGTCCAATAGTCTTGAAATCGGGGAATACCCTAGTTTAGCCCAGTCAACCACAAAATGTATTACAAAAAAATGAAAGCATTTGTTTCCTTAAGTTATTAAGCATATTATTGTAGAGAAATAAATATATTACAAATTCATCGTTATCGACACAACATTTTGTATAGCAATTTTAATAGCAATTCGACATGAGCAGAGGGAAATCAGGCACAGGATCAACGGTTTTACGTGGTTTCTTCCTGACTCCAGTCTGCTATTGGGAATATCTTGACAGAAAAACTCAACTAATTTTAACTCGGCCCGGGGTTCAAATACGGTACCACATAATCAGCTGTCGCGCATACAACCACTAAGTACTAACTGACAAGCTAAGTCATTTGAAACCTTTTGAATTTTAAATTATCAGAACTAAGCAAAATTACTGTTTTACTATTTTATTGCGACCTACTGTAATTTTGAGTTTCTCTATGGTTAAAAAATAAATACAAATTATTCGATAATGATATACGAATACATTAACTATACGATTTCGTACACATGTTTAAGTGATTTAAAACACAATTTCCAACATGTGACAGTATCACAGAATATCACGATCCTGAACAAAAATTGCATACGGATATAGTCACTATTGCGTTGTGTTAAGGCACATTCGCGTCCGTCCGCGTGGTTGTGGCCGTGTCTAGTAGTCGTCGACGTCGTACAGGTTGTCAATCTCTTCGTCTTCGAGCTGCATCGACTGGAAGTCCACTTTGTAGCGGAGCAGACCTGGAAAGTTAAAAATAAAACCGTGTTTAATTTTGTATTACGACATTCTCATATTTATGACAAAAAGAAAATTGTGAATTCATAAATTGAATAAAACATTTATGCAGATAAATTTTAAAAACATATTCAAGTTGAAGGTAGTCTTCGTCAACTATGACATCGGGATGCCAAAATACCTCGATCTCCCCGTGACCATGGGTGCTGAAATGTCGGGAATTAAAAAAGTTAAAATTAAATGCGATAAAATCCGTGAACTTGGTGTTATTCTAATGGGGAAATTGTTCGCTCGCTCTAAAAGAAGCTCTTACTCCACGTCTGACCGTTTGATTAGAACATTTGTTTTCGTTGCGAAACACTGCCAATTTCTTGCAGTAAGTCCTTCAGTAGAATCTCCGCAGTAAATGCCCCCAGTAGAATCGCAGTAAATTGTGTATTTACATCTTATTTTAGGTTACAAAATATATTGTTTTAATTGAAGTGAGAAACAAACATCCGGTCCATCTTACGGTAATTGGCTTCACTATATGAACACACGTAACTAACTTCAAACAGCCAAGTGACTAACCACTTCAGACCGGAACTCAGAATTTTATTCACCTTTCTACTATCGACAACAGGCGGTCGGCAGTTTTTCACCCTTTGTAGACTTCCGTCATGCGCACAACAAAATACTGAAATAATCTGACGGTGTCTATCTTTCCGTCCGATTACAATTTAGACATCTTCAAGGCAAGAGTGAAGGGGCTTTTGTTACGCTAAGGCAAGTGGTAATATGCACTGTCTTATCGAAGGCTTCATCACTACTTACCGTCCGGTGGGATCATAGTTAAGAACTAAAGTTTTCGAAAGGATCATGATCTGACATAATACCAGCGTAAAATGGCAGCTTTATGCTGCTGTGTTTCCTATAGCGAGTATAGAGATCCGGAAACCTTTTTTAATGGAAACAAGGCTTTTGATTTTAGTCCTCAAGGATGACAACGCAACAGGATTTTAATTCTTAATTGAGGACAGATGTAGATGTCTATGAACCACAGCATCCACTTACCATCAGGGGGACACTGTTTGTCACCTTATTGAAAAAAAAGACAGTTTCATCTGAACCGTAATTAATCATCAATAAAGTATATTTTACGCAGTTGTAAATTTGACGCATACTATGATGGCGCCTTTCAGTTTATCACATCTTTAACATTGATTTTTTTATACATTTTAATTTTGATCTTAATATTTAAAGCACAATTTAATTGTTGTATTGTAATATTATGATATTTCGTTTTACGAACCGTAAACAAAACATGGGCGGCCTGCTCGAAATTATTAACATGTGCTACTAGGCTGCACTAAAAGTATCGGGAATGGAATATTTCCACTGTTCCTGTCATATTAAAAGCTTTTTAATTGAAAACTCCTTAGTTTTAAAAATCGAATACCATTTATTTATTTAAAAAAAAGATTCTCGGTCTTGTCACAAGGTTTTGTCAAACTTGTTTAGTCATTGAGAAAATGGAATCGACTCGAGAAAATTCAAGAGCGATGATTTATTATGACTTTCGAAGTGGTTTAACACAAACACAGTGTGTTGACCGGATGATTTCTGCATTTGGTGATGAAGCCACATCCAAAACCACAATTTATCGCTGGTTTGCTGAATTTCAACGTGGACGTGTCAAGCTCAGTGATGGTCCCCGTCAAGGTCGTCCAAAAACTGCAGTCACCCAAGAAAACGTTGATGCTGTGCGTAAGCTGATTGAGGAAGATCGACATGTGACATACCGCGAAATTCAGGCAACTTCAGACATTGGCATGAGTCAAATACAAATAATCTTGCATGAACAATTAGGTGTAAAAAAGTTGTTTTCCCGATGGATACCGCATTCGCTCTGTGAAGAGCAAAAAGCGGTTTGCGTTACTTGGTGCGTCAGAACTCTCGAAAGATTCCACGCAGGATCCTCAAATGCTGTATACAACATCGTATCAGGTGACGAATCCTGGATATACGCGTACGAACCCGAAACAAAAAACCAGTCACGAGTTTGGGTGTTCGAAAATAAGTTAAAGCCAACAAAAATTGTTCGTTCACGGAGTGTTGCAAAAAAAATGGTGGCCACGTTTGTCTCCAAAACTGGCCATGTTACGACTATTCCTCTTGAGGGACAAAGAACGGTTAATGCAGAATGGTATGCTAGCATTTGTTTGCCACAGGTCGTTTCTGAACTCCGTAAAGAGAACTGCAACCGCCGCATCATCCTCCATCACGACAATGCGAGTTCTCACACCGCACACAGAACAAAAGAGTTTTTAGAGCAAGAAAACAAAGAACTATTAGACCATCCGCCGCACAGCCCCGACCTAAGCCCTAATGATTTCTATACTTTCCCTAAAATAAAGAATAAATTGCGTGGATATAGATTTTCATCACCTGAAGAAGCTGTGGACGCCTATAAAACGGCCATTTTGGAGACCCCAACTTCCGAATGGAATGGTTGCTTCAACGATTGGTTCAATCGTATGGAAAAATGTGTCAAATTTCGCGGAGAATACTTCGAAAAGCAATAAATACATTTTTAAATAGTAATGTTGTGTCACTTCCTTGATTCCCGAAATTTTCAGTGCCGCCCTCGTAATTTAAAAAGTTACTCCCGAGCTCTGTTGAGTATACTTTATCAAAGTAATTATTTGATAACTAAAATTGTAAATATGTTTATAATATTTAATTTCTATCCTTTAAGTTTTATTATATATGTGTAATATTTTAACAGATTTGTTTTCCAGATGTTCAATTTTTTTTTTGATTTCTTATAATGATAACTTTTGTTTGCGTTTTAAACATCGATTTCTTTTTGTATTTTAACTACATACCAATTAATTTAATTTATAATTTAAAATCATAATCACATACAATTATGTCTATACTAATATCAACGAAATTAAAAACTTGCAATTTGAACATAAACACAGATAAAAAATCCAATTAATATTTTACCTCTTTCCGTAAAGCTCATGCATGTAAAAAAATTGAGAACTGTTTAAAATTGTATGTTATTCTGAAACCAGACAATCGTAAAAAAATTAATTAGAAATCTAGATTGGAACAAACAATTCGAATAATTTATTAATCAAATACCAAAAATTATATTTTCAAGAAAATTATTCATTACGCCGAATGATCCGAGATGTTATTTGTAAGTTTAATATAAATTGTATTATTCGAATAAATTAAAATTATATGAAACATTTACAATATTAAAATAAATTATATTCTTCTCGAAACTTATTTGTTTTCCAAGATAGATATATTCATCCACGTAGTCTAGCGGCCCATTTTCTAACCTGATACACTTCTTGATACTATTTGTCAAGGCGTTCGTCGTTGACAAGTCTATCTCTAATCCCACTTGTCTTCTGCTTATATTAAGGAACTCTGTGGCCTGCAATATATGCTATATTGCAGGCCACAGCTAGTTTCTGATAGTAACACTATATCGTCTGCGAATCTTAGATGGCTTAAGTATTTGCCATTAATGTTCAGAACTTAAATTTAAAAAAGAACGCTAGCTTATGCTCACACTTGATAATTCTGTAAACCAAGAAAGCTTAGAAGAACTATTTACGCTGCAAGAAATTTAAAGGATAGCTTTTAACATAGAATACTATAATACACAATAGAATGGCTGTCAACCTTATTTTGTACGAGGATAGGCGTCGCCGGGAGCACACATACAAGCAATTGCGTCGTATTATAAACCCGATTCGCTGTGTTGACAGACAGATTTTGATACATATTAATTGTTAATAGCGTGCAATTTGGCATTTTCTAAATAATTTACATGCGAAATTTGAAAACGATTGTAACGCCAAAACACATCTCATGTTGACATTTATACGTGTGAATTGACGTGTTAGTGACATTTTAGTGGCTACGCGGGCTCCGCCCACTCCCCCATTCTATTATGTATGTAATTATAGTATTATATGGTTTTTAACGATCTATTGATGTCACGCTTTGCCCGAACGTGCAAACTAAACAACTGAGGGATAGCTGCTTGGGACTGATAATAAAATGCTGATGCTATTAGGGACTGATAAAAAAACGCCTTCCAGACCGACTTTTGGTCACGGCGCAGGACAGGATTATAGTGCCCAAACCTATGCCGCAAGCACAGGTGCACTCTCTATTTCGTCACTCTCATAATCCGATGGGACGGTAAACCGAAACGACCGGAGAGAGATCAGGCACATTACCAACGGCGGAGAGACATCGCCAACTTTCTGAATTCGGGCAGCAACTGAGAATTTATTGACGGAAAAACTCAATAAGTGATGTTGTTTGGCCCGACCCGGGACAACATCAGCAGTCGAGTTTACAACTACTGGACTAACGAAGGCCGGTCAGGCACGACTTATAATATCTATGAAAAATTGACAAAATCATCACCAGTGTTCCGTTTCCTCCGAACAACATATACACCGCCAACTTAGCGGTCAGCCGCCGTAGAGTCTACATCACCTGAGGATGCCTCGTGTAGAGAGGCGAAACATTTGTCATATTATCGTCGATGGTGTGTCTTACTTGGAATAGTGGTGTTGGAAGTAGTGGTGCCGGGAGTAGTGATGTGGGACTAGTGGTGACGGAGTTAGTGCATGCAATTGAGGGAGGGCGGGAGGTGCTCTTCAATCCAGGTAAGATACATCATTGTATTTAATTAGCGGAAGGTTGCAAGGTAATTAATATTTTTATCATAATGGATTTCCGCAAAGTGACACCTGGTTCTATCAATTACATTTTACTTGACTTTTGATTAATGTTTAAGATCATCATTAAAAAATCTTTTAAATTTTAATACATATTTACTTGTAAATAGGGTGCAATTTGGCATTTACTAAATAATTTGCATGCGAAATTTGGAAACGATTGTAACGTCAAAACACATCTCGTGTTGATATTTATACGTGTGAATTGACGTGTTAGTGACATGTTAGTGGCTACGCGGGCTCCG